AACTTACTAGTGAAAAGTGATTTCTGGACATTTTAATCATGTATCGTCCCTGCACTACTTCACAACACATACTGGCATTATGATTCACAGCAGTAGTTCACAATGATAAAAATTTAAACGTACGCGAAAATTTGACATGTGCTCGCTTGCAAGAATAATGTCCGACTGATGACGCGCTGAACACGACTTTTAAACCCCGCCTATTTGAACACGATTTTTCTTGGGTCATTTTTTTAACGCAGTTACATTTCCTGACTTATTATTTATTCGTAGAGTTTTACAATCAGACGTTTTCATATGGAATGACTCGTACGGCTTTAGGGTTAACTGTAGACAACATGCCACGAGATGGCACAACAGCGCTTTAACTTCAAAACCGTTTTCTATGAAAATTGGTACTTTTTGATAACCCTTGCATTTGACAGCATTTCCTTTAAAATCAATGGGCGATCGTCTACTGTATGAAGGTTTCTACTTATACTGTATGTAGTATTATACAGTCATATTGTACATGTAAAATGACATAAAATATATATCTCATACTCATATTTTTAAAAGAAATATCAACGGCAACTATTGTCAAGGTCGTCTATCGTCGTTATATGAAGACTAGACTAGCTTTAAGAATAGTTCCAATTAAATCTGCCCAATTTCTTTGTATGGGATGGGACATCTGTATTACTATGATATCTTGTATACTGTGCTTTTACGTATAAAATACATGTAAGAATCAACACAGTATACATTAGTAAGTAGTATTAGAATATTAGTCATATTATATACGCACGAAATGCATAAACTAAAGGTGCAAAGATTTAATTACGCAAGAGTAGTTCTTTATTCAAAGAAATAGAAATGTACTTTACCTTTATTATCACAATTAAAAATGCACACAATGAAAGTCGGATTTCTCTTCATGGTTTTAACTTAATGAGGACTGCAGATTTTTGTTTGCGAAATTAACGAACATCGCTAATTTATGCTGCAAATGTTGACAGAAACATTTTTGGGATAATATTTGTCTATGACAAAAGCATATTAGAATATAGGCCAGGGAACGGAAGCCTCATTTTCCGTTTATAGTTGTAAATAATTTATTTTTAAAACAAAATGTATGCATAGAAATTTCTTTTTTCAGGTAAGTGATCTTCAATATCCTTCATATTAAAATGGTATGTAATTTACGACATTTATAAATAGCACAAAGTTACACTGATACATCAAAAATATTAATCAAGCCACGTCCAAGTGAAACTTACGAAGGCTAAAAATTCTTTCAGTAGTATATTGTGGCAATGTTTCGGCTAGGCTGGTAAAGTAAAAGCTTTTAGAAATATACGGTACGATTTACCTTTCCTAATGGCAATAGTAGTGAAGTCGTACCGTAATACATTTCCTTTTTTCTAATTCTTATATCCCCGCCAAAAATAAACTGTGTACTGAATATTCATGAGTATGAAAGAGCATTGTTAAGAAACTCAATAAAATATTCAGTCCAAATACATTATAAATATAGTTTTATTTTATACTAGCGACTCACCTTCGCTTCGCTCAGATTCGTTAATAGGTACGTGTTCACCGTTATTATGAAATATATATTTTTTTTCGTGAATTTTTCCGAAGTTATAATAGTTATTATACTATTCGAGGAAAAGACAAATCCGACAAAACAAAGATCATAAAAATCGGTCCAGCAGTTCTCGAGTTATAAGCGTTGCAACAAACCCGACTTAGTTTTATATATGTATGTAGATAGATTTCTTTTATCTATCCCATAAATATTATAAATGCGAAAGTTTGGATGTATGTTTGTCTGTTTGTCTCAATCACGCGATAACAGCTGAAAGTATCTAGATCAAATTAGGCTCAAAGATAGATTATAGTCTAGAATAGCACATGGTTACTTTTTATTCCGGATAAATGTAATATATGATCCATACGAAAGGTTAAAACTTACCTCGAAACAAACCCAAGCGAAGCAAGGATGAATCGCTAGTTTTATTTAAATTCATAAAATACAATTTATATTTAAAATGGTATTATGCATTTTACTTTGATCATTTATTTACTTCACACAACCTTGGCATAAAGTTTTTAGTGCAATACTAGTGAATGCACGATGCATAGAGTTAAAAATGTATGAAAAAATTTCAAACTCATATCGTCTTCGTTAAATTAAATACAAGAAGAAAATTGCAGATCGCATACGCTGCAATATTTCAGTCGTATACAATAATTAAAGCATTCAGTGACAGGCAGTCGCTATTGCGCAATACATTTGACGAGATTCTCCATTTGATTCCGCGCGTCATTCCTTTGAGATTAAATTTAGCCTCGTCACGTAGCGCCGCTTCCGCCCCCTAGCGCTGCTCGCTAGCCGTGATTGCAGGTCGCAGTCGCCGGTCGCAGGCCCGTGTCGACGTTAGCAGCCGCTCTGACGCTAGCGCCAGCCTCACCCGTGCACCGAGCAGGGAGGCAGGAGGCGGACCGCTCAAACCTCACGCTTGCGCTTTACGACCAGCGCCATATTATTCTCTTGTAACGTACTCTCGGTTCGTTTGCTCGGTCAATTATCTTTAACGTATTGAAGAGGCAACGTTACGTGATATAATTCACATTTATTGTCATAAAATTACTTTTTACACGAATTGAGCTAACTATTACTAGCTCTTGGCTAAATTGGATTATTACACAATATATATATTAAAAGCGGTAGTTGTCGTTTATTAGTTTTATAAGGATATGAAACATTGTCTTATATTCAAAATAATCACCAATGAATATATTTTAAATAAATGTATGTCTATGTAGGTAGGAGTCCGTACGTTTACATAAAGCAGCAAGTGCAATAATAAAAGGATATTATAACGTTTATTGAATGTATAAGTGTAGTCGCATGAATCAAGTTGACACTTATATTACTAGCACTCTCTTTATGTTCAGTGCAGACTGTATATAAAAGTGAAGATTGTCCATAAAAATAATCTGACAGTTTATGTTCCTAAGTAACACTAAAATTTTGATTTAATATACAAGTATATATTTTAGTTTGCGTTATCTCCTTTTTTTAGTTGGTTAAAAGCTAATAATTATGGAAAATCACCGACTAATTTTGTATATAATTTGGATAAATGAAATACATGTACCTACATAGGTCATTAAGCGAATTATTCCCTCAAGTTTAATAATTAATCTATGTATCAAGTACACAAGATAATCAAGTGAAAATAATATTCATTTAAAACGTTTCTACTTCAAAATGTATATGAGACCGTACATAAGCTCAGATTTTTTCGTTTAAGCATCCTTTATGTTAATTGCGTTAACCTTTACTGTATTTGAAAATAAACCCAGACGTCTTAAACCTAATTAGTCCTTTCCTTAAACATCTTGCTTTATATATTAAAAGGCTTTCATATTTCTCTTTATTTATTCTAGTATTTATGATAGTATAGCCGCTACCTAGTTTAAGGATGACTTATTATGAACTGAAGAAAGATCGACTGAAATAAAAACTGAAACAAATGAAAATTATGAACATCATAAAAGTAATAATGTATAATTAATGTGAATATAAATTATTAACAATTATTAATATACATTTTCATTTTTCATATTATTGCTCCTTAATGGATTTTAGTCGTATATTATTTGAATATACCTACATAATAAGTAAACTCCGCATCGATTTTTTTATAGTTCGATGATTTTTTTTGATTCCCTAAGTAATATTTAGATAGTTATATATCAATTTTTAGGGTTCCGTACCCAAAGGGTAAAAAGGGACTATTAATAAGACTCCGCTGTCCGACCGTCTGTCTGTCTGTCCGTCTGTCGCCAGGCCTCATGAACCGTGATAGTTACACAGTTGAAATTTTCGCAGATGATGTATTTCTGTTGCCTCTATAAGAACAAATACTAAAAACCAGACTAAAACAAATTTTTAAGGGAGCTCCCCATACAAAAAACGTGATTTTTTACTAGTTTTTGCTCATATTGATAACAGCAACAGGTAGATGCTTAAAATATTCACAGAACATTTAGTTATATATTCACTTTAAAAATAATTAAATGAAAAGAAAACAAATATTTAATTTGTTTTTTATTTTGCTCAATATTATAGATAGTGGTACGGAACCCTTCGTGCGCGAGTCCAACTCGCACTTGGACCGTTCTTACTAATTTGATTCAATTAAAATCAAATCTTTTAATTCGCTATTTTTTATAATTCTTTTATGAATGGCATATTCATATTTTATGAAGATAAATATGCAAAATTATAAATAGCAGTAAAGGAAATATTCTCAATAAGATTATGAGCAAAGTATCACCGTTAAAACCCCTAATTAAAATAAGCCAAAAACCTTGATAAAATGTGTAAGTCGACATTAAATCAATCATACAAATGACGTGTCCTGCTAATGTTAACCGAATTAAACGAGGAAGGTGCATTTATTCTTATTTACTCACAAATACAAGCAACATTTGATTATTCATCTTTAAAGGCAAACAGTGGAATGTTTACATGAAAAAACTCATTTAAAATTTTATGTCTGCGCTACAACTTTCTCTACTATAATACTTTAATACCATTTTGACATTAAAACTTGTAGTATTGTAGATTTTTTAGTACGGTTTTACTTTAGGAACTTATAGGAACATGTTTGGGATAAATACAGTATTATAGATATATTAGTACTTTTTATATTTATTTTATCAACAATTATAATATAATTATTGATTGTTTTATTTTTTTTACCAGAAAATTACCAAAAGATAAAGGATCTTCACTAAATATGTCAACTTATTTATACAGTAATTATCACAATAACAATGTACTTGATCAATATCAGTATTCTAATATGGGCATAATATTAAACAACGCAGCTGCCTGCGTAGAGCGTCAATTATGTAGAGACCTGAGATATGTACAATGTACATATATCCGTGAACAAGAAGCCTCATCAGAGATTCGATAAGCTAAGCATTTGTTCATTTTAAACGAATTTAATGAAAGGCTTGGCCGTCGTTGTGTAGTACGAGGCGGGTAGCACGGCACACGGGCGCCGCGGCGCCGCCCGCCCGCAGGCGCGTGCCCCGAAGCCGACCGAGGACTTACGATCGTTTCGCTCCGAATCGTAACGAAGTTCGACGATCGCGGCCACCCTCCGTCGACGCGTGCCGGATCCAGTCGCAGTGAGAGCCGCCTGGGCGTTGGAACACTTCTCCATGTGCCCAGTGCTCGGTTATGTAACTCAATAAACTTATTTATTTATCAACTTAAAATATCCTCAGGGACGTTTGTGGTTAAAATTTCTTATTCCGTTATCGCTATCCTGTTAGATTTTTTATCCAATTCATGTGTTAAAGTGATGTGTACCTCCGCCTATCCTCGCGGCAATAGACATCGGCACAGGTTTATCGTGTTGTTCGAAAATTTTGTTTCAATTTCATTTTAATTAAAATGATTGTACAAGGGTTTCATTGTTATCTTGTGTTATTAAAGCATCGCTACATAACTCTATATGTTAACTCATAGAAAAACGTACTGTAATATAGTTGCAAGGAATCAAACTTATTCATACAATCAACATATTTGATTTGTCACATGCCGGTCGGTGCTCGTTGTTGCTGTTCCAATTAAAAGAACAAATAGTACAAGACAAATAAGAATTTGGCGCAATGCAGGACACTAGTATGAAAGGTTCATATATTTGGTCGCCGCTCATTTCAAATCCGTAATTACTTTAATAGATGCAATTTTATGCACTAATGCATGTCATTACGTTTGCTATACATAATATATCGTTTATTCATGGAACGCCGTAGAAATGTTACCGTACACAGATTATTGAAATCCAAAAATAGTGTTTCGTAAAATCAATGTAAAACATTCGTCCACTTTAACTTTTTGAAATTAAACCGTTTGTTTTACGAAATATTAAATGTATATAAGCTTTGATAAAGTTATAAATTATACTGATATTATAAATAAATATATATATTGCTGAAAATCCTTTAACAGAGATACATTCTACATAGAATTAATATATCTGCATAATTTGTTGAGAGGCAAAAAGCTACACGGTTGCAAAGCTGTTTCTAAAGTAGTCTATCTTATATTGGACAATAATTTTAGCTGCGCTTCGCTAGATCAAGGTGAAACAGGATTATCTCCTAAATAAGAGAAGAGCTTTCAGCTCTTTAAACTTATGTAGAATCAGCAAACACAAGTGCCAAACATTTGTATGATGCAAAGCTCAGCGACAATACTTGACCTAAAAGCGTACACAGAGAATTCTATCTAATCTTGAGGTTTATTTTTTGCATTGAACCTTCACCTTTAATCCAATTTGTATTTCATTTACGTTTGTATATTGTATTCATATATTATTTGTTAAATATTATAAAAATTAATTATTAAGTTATTCATAACATCTTCATGGTGTGACTGGATGCGTTGCCTGCATTTTACGTACTTAGCTTGTTCTCTATTTTATTATAAATACAAGGAAGTTTTCATTCTAATCTCGCTAAAAGAAATTGATATTTGAAACATATTATCTGTTTTAATTTTACATTATTATGCTTGTTCCAAATCATTTAAATCCTTTTAAATTCTATCCTGCTTTGATTAAGTTTTAAAGCCTAATTGGATTTTCAAGTTAAATGACAGAAACATTTACATACATAATACATACATTTTCAAAATTAATAATAACGTAAATATAGAAACTCTCCTCTTTGTATCATTAAATTAATTGATGGGTAATATCTATAAATACGTATACTCGTAGAACAAATTACGATAGGTAACGTCGATAAATGTTGGATTAATTTAACTCCCAACTAAACCTAATGAACGTTATTAATTATCGTTATAAATAATTGACGTAAAAATAATGACGAGACGAAGTGCTTCAGCACTCAACAAAAAATTGTCATTAATAAAATGTGGAATACACTCGCCAAATTACGCCTATACAAAAAAAACATTAAATTTTACCAAAGTTTTATTTCTAAACGGTGTAACAAAATATTGTTTAATGAAAAATCCAAAAAACAATAGCTTTTGTTTTTGAGCATTTTAAAAGATATTTATTATCATTTTTTCCCTTTATGTATAATGTACATACCTATGTATATCGGTTTACAGGGTTAAAATGAAACTCCCGTGTACTTTCATTTACATGTACGAGTAGATTGCTCCATTAATTATTCTTACCCTAAAATTTTCTTGGAAACTTAATTGTATGGTTATACATTGTGGGGGCTTAGAAAACAAATTCAAAGTAAACACTATTTTACTATAAAATAAGTACGATTGAAACTTGATTTGGCTCCGTAATATGTTATATTTAAAAAGAGTTCAAAACAATTGAAAGTAAATTCCATTATGAAAACTGTTATATTTAATTTGAATTACCAAAATATACAGGTGCAATTATTGTATTTTATTGGTTTGTAATTTATTGATAATTTTAATTTATATAATATTTACATTGTTTAATTTATCTTTGATATAAGTATATCGATGGGACTAGTATTTTAATATATTAAATTGCTTGGCATTTCAGTTTAAGAACCATAATATATAACACAAGATAATAATTATTTTATTTTTGTGCATCTTTAAACGAATATAAACTCCAAATATATTTTCTCGCAAGTTATTCATTTAAAAAATTTTCAGTTTTAACAATCTAGCTTAAATCTTGTAGACTTGATAGATATATATTGTGTATTTTTATAAAACATTGACTTTCCACTCGTTTAAGTTTAGTTTAATATACAACTTTATTTACGCGTATTCCTTATTATCTTGTTAGCTCACTTCAAACTTCCGACTATATCTGAATATTAAAATAAACTTTGCTAATATAATTTATTTGTAATAAAAAATGATTAAATAAATCAGTTTAAGGCCACATGCGACGCAGACACGATAGACCAAATGCAATGTCGCATTACTGTGGTGTATCACGCCCTACTTCCCTTGGGACGCGCCGGCTGTTAGCGTAATTAAAACGTGACTAAACTTTAAGAAATACATCATTCTCACGTCATGAATGAGCACAAAGTAGCATGTTATTAGTTTATTTCACAAGTTCGCTTCGGGGTTTAAAGACAAAATCTACATTTATTTTGTCACTTAAAGTGAAACATTGTATCTACATACTTATATTTTATGTAGCACGTAGATAAGAAAAGAAATGATGTTACTGAGACAAAAAAACGTGTGTGTACGTTATGTACGCAAGTAAGAATACTTCTTTGGCGTAACAGAACAAAAATAGCTAAAGATTTCATCCCGTATGTCACAACTCTCTGTTTGTAAAAGGAATGCAGCTAACATCATCATGTCGCTTTTTGGCTGTCGGTGTGCGCGCGCAGCATAAAAATTTAACTCTCATATTTTTTCCAATCGTGCCATATGATATATAACTTCAAAAAATATGTATTATTAATAAAACAATATATTATTCAAATATTTTCCTTATTTTATTTTATAACTAGTATTGCCCTCAGCTCCGCCTGCGTTCAGGTGACCAAAAACCAAATTCTTAGGTTTTGCAGATTAATATGCTCTTACAATGTAATTTTTGCATTTTTTCTCAGAAATGAAATATTTTCCCGCAGTAAAAAGTATCCTTTACGTTAACCCGGATAACCAGCTATCATCACACCAAATTGCATCAAAATCCCTCCAGATTATCCTGTGATGCGGTAACGGACAGACGAAAATTCTAAAAGCTATAGATTCGACTTCGAGATTTTTCAAAATATATTTAATGTACAGATTCGACTTAGTTAGAATTTTATTATGTGTATAGATTAGTATAGATTAAAAATACATTACGGAGAGTCTTCTTTTATGTTAGTCAGTCTTATAGTCCAAGATCCCAGGACCACCAGCCGTATTGCTTTGCAGACGCTTTAAAGGTCTCAAAATAATTACTTAACTTCACGTAAATTTTGATGCTCCATTTTTATATATGTTCGCCAAACAACTATTTTAAAACCTTTTACAAGAAGGCAGACCGATCCAAGGGGCCAATCATCCCCTAAACTCAATTTTCCTACCCACAGAGGCATTAAAACAAATATCAATATCAATAAATGGTGTCATCTCAATCATATTACTCTTTAATATCGTAAATGTTTTCATATAAAGTTCACCCGGAATAAAACCACGTGTCTCTAGTTACTTAATAGTAAACTCGCCAATACACAAAGTCTCCAAAATCAGAGATTTAGGAGTCACTATAGACAAACAATTACTTTTTGTAACGCACATTACTAAAATGGTCGTTAAAGCCTCACAATTTTTTTTAGGTTTTACTAGGCGGAATGCACAAGGATTTTCTAGGCAATCCAAAATAGTCATATACAATGCCTTGGTTCGCAGCTGACTTGAGTATGCTAGTGTCATTTGGAATCCCCCGTTTAACGTACATTCTCAACGAATTGAAGGTATTCAGCGTGCTTTCACCAAATACTTTTCTTTCATGATGTTTCTTGATGATTCTTTCGTCATGAGACAGAATTTTCACACAGACGCTTATACAACAAACGACTGATTAAATACAAAATGATCTCTTTTCAAAACAGGCGCGAAATTCTTGACCTGAGCTTTCTTTTCACCATTCTCAACAATAGAATAAAACATTCAGAGTTGCTTGAAAGAATATTATGATCAGTCCCATGTAGAAAACCTAGAAAAACTCGTATTCGCAAAATGTTTGAAACTCCTCATGTAAGATCTCACGTTGGCAATAAAGCCCCTTTACTACGTATGTGTAAAAGATACAATAACACATATTATTAAACGAATTCCAGACATTGACATCTCTCACGATTCCTTTCAAATCTTTAGAAAAAAGCTGTTTAATTAAGTTATAGTAGTAGCTGTATAATTAGTGTTATTTTAAATAATAAATTTTTCTCTCAACTCTGTGTTTTTTTATATTGTGTTTTTTTTTATTTAATTAGATTTATCTTGATTGATTTATTTATTTTGATTATTGTAACATGTACTATAATTTGTAATTTCTGAATTATTTTATTTTTACTTTGTTATTATTATTTTGACTCCTTTGATTTACTAATTACTTGATTAATTTGGTATGAGTACTGCTTGGTTATTATTTGATCAATTTTTAATTAGACTTATATTATTTGATTTTTCTTAACATTATTTAAAATTTCATATAACTGCATACTGCATAGTAGACTACTACAACCGTCAGCTATAATTATATAATTATTTTAAATAATGTTAAGAAAAATCAAATAATATAAGTCTAATTAAAAATTGATCAAATAATAACCAAGCAGTACTCATACCCAATTAATCAAGTAATTAGTAAATCAAAGGAGTCAAAATAAGTCAAATTTAAGATTAATCAAATAATAACAAAGTAAAAATAAAATAATTCAGAAATTACAAATTATAGTACATGTTACAATAATCAAAATAAATAAATCAATCAAGATAAATCTAATTAAATAAAAAAAAACACAATATAAAAAAACTCACAAAACAAGTCAGCCAAAACATTTAAAACTTTCTTTTTTGAACTTACGTGGATTAATCTTATCAAGTCAGTTTTTAAGATCCGTACACGATTTTTAAAGTTATGAAATAATTATCCAGTCATCAAATGGAAATCTTTATGGCGTAATGACCCTTCATGGCAAATTTTATTTACACGCTGAAGATTCCCTCATTTCTAAAGCTTTGAGTTTAACCTTTTTCTTAATTATCTTAAAATATATTATAGGAATACATTTTGTATATTTTTGTTATACTTGTCATATTTGTTTTAAAATTTATATACATATATTATTAATACAAGAAGTACAAAATATTTATGATTAAGTTTGACACTGGAAAAGTTTTTTACGATTTATTTTTGCTTCGCCACAATTCTTTGACAGCTTGTTAACGTTCTTACCAGGCCAGAATAAGCTACTTCCAATGCAGACCGCTGTCCGTACTTGTACTAGTTATTCTAGTATGTTTGTTTATAATAACTTTTATTGGCATAATTTTATTATCATTATACAATATATAGCATTTTGTCGTTGTGTTCGAGTGGTTATTAAATGTAATATTTCGATTATTTTATTGTGATAAGGTACTCATTTTACAACGTTTATTATATTTTAAAATTTAAGCATATATCACAATCAGCTTAAACATTTAAAGCGACTTAAGTAAAATTTTCGATCGATTGCACTAAAATCAGATAGATACGCCAGATAAAATTCACTTTAAGTGTTGTTTTATGTTTTGAAAGGATAATCCATTTTATATTAGGAACAGCTGTTACAGCTAAGTATTTGTTTGAAATTTTTGATCATATATGTATGCCAATTTTCAAATTACGGAGCTTAAAATTTTGAGTGAAACTTTATTTAAATAAAAAATATTATCTACAAAAACAAAAAAGATATTTTGTCCTCTAAAACTTAACGTTTAATTCTTCTAAGAATTAACGGAACGAGGATGGATTAAAGTTGGAGCAGCTTCGAAAAACTACTACGCTTAGCGCAGCATTCAAGCGCGAGATTAGAGCGTCCGGTATCGCATGTACGGATTTAATTTAACGCTCTAAATGCGGACTACCACTTACAACTCGATTATTAAATACGAGAGATATAGCTTCAATAATATAATATAAATTCATTTCCAGTAGAACTTATGTGACGTTGTTTGCACGGTTCGTTATATTTTGTTCATAACCAATGACATAAATTAGTATGTTTTAATAACACAAACAGCAAGAAACTTTATTGAAAATTATCATCAATCTTAAGAAACTGAATCTATTCATCGATTCTTAAATGTAGTAGTGGAAAAATAAGACTGTTCCAAAATGATTATGAACTATGTGACATTTCCAAGATGTAAAGTGTAAAAGCAACCGACTATAGTAAAGGACGGGAAGCGGGAACCGAAAGAGAAAACTAATTTTCGTTTAGTCGTAATGAGGTGACGCTCGAGCGCCGGCCGCTGACGCCGCTCCTCGCCAATGATGGTGGAGACGCACCGCGTGCCGCCGCCCCGATGTGCGCGCGCGCTCGATCCCCGCAGCAAGCCCGTGTCTGCCTCGGCGCCGCCCTCGCTGGCTGGCAGCGGCACCGTCATGCACCTGCGTCGCCGCCGCCACAAGACTGTTCATTTTGGAGAAAACCTCCTCATGCAAGTTTGCGCCGATCGTGCACATTTGGCAGCGCTCGGAGCGAGAGTGCCAGATATATCGTTTTGCCACAAATCACACACAGGCCTCTCTAAGGAAGATGCACGATTTTGTTGCGTGGCGCACCACTGTTGCTTGGCTGCAGGGGCTCTTGTAGCACTGACGTCAAACGGACGTCCGAAACCGCATAGAGAGCGTAGCGCAGATTCACATTCAAGTGGCGGAGAAACCGCAGACAAAGGAGAAGGCGGTGGCGGATCGGTATCAAAGGAACCGAAGCGTAAAACTAAACATCACCACCACCATCACCATCACCACCACCATAAAACACACACTTGTCCTTATCACGATGTTGCACCTCCTCCCGAAGATGAGCCTGAGGAAAAATCACTAGTGCCAAAAAAGACCGTATCGCCTTATTTATATATACCTAGCAAATTAGAACCAAATGTGCAACAATTATTCAGTTTTATTGAAAGTGTATTGAGTGCGTGGGCTGCTGAGGAAGGGCTTACGAGTGCTGGGGAATATTCCGAACCAGATGAACGTATAGTTCGTCGACGAAAACTGAATAAATATAAAAAACGCACAGATGTTCTCAATATACGAAGGATTGTTTATGAAGTATCTATTCTACAAGGCGCAAAGCTTCTTGGTAATGTAAGATTCCGTCATTATCACTGGAAAGGGACTGCGCAAACTTGTAATGAAGCATTTCTTCGTAAGGTGAGTGCCTTCAGATAGTTTTTTATTCGTTAAAAAGATTCATTTCTTATTCGATTATAATAGGTACATACTCATATTAATTAACAATAAGTACGATAATGTTAGGTTACAAACAATATTTGGCAGCAATAATATATTTAAACAATACCTTATTTTTATTACTAAATATACATATACATACTTGACACTATTAGAATATTGTGTATATTGTCCACTGTATGTAGGTTGTTTTTAAGGCCCCACTTATGTACCTGTGAAGCTCTCAATAGGTTTCACAATGACCTTTACAATAGATAGCTTGAAGATAAAAGCCAGTAAAATATAGCTAACATTTTGACCTTATTTTAGATTCCTCTTCGAGGCTGCAATTTCCTTTTCTACTAATGAGGCCTTTTATTTTCTACTCTATAGCACTCCCTAAGTATCTTTTTACATTTATTTTGTTTATTTTTTACGCCACAAGTCTGCGATAAATATGAATCATAAACAAAAAGAATGTATAGGTTTCAATATTTGAGAATAATCTACCTATTGAAATTGTGATGAATTGCACGTTTCTAAAGATCCTAAAATAAATAAAATGTTCTCGCTATCACTCTTCTTTTACATGCACAGTTACTATATTATATTAGGATTAATATAAAATACAATGGTTATTGCGACAATTTAAATATTCATAATTTTATTCTGATCTGGAAAATAAGTATAGATTTTAATGACGTATTTTTATAAATCATTAATTTATCATATAATAATAATAAAATAGTTAAAAACAAAAATAAAATAATTTGTAATTCCAATTAATTAAATGTAATAAATGCTTTAATTTCTGAAATCTAAAGTGAATTAAGAATAACCATTTGTCATTTACATTAGGTACATCGTTTTAATTTGAATGTAAATATATATTGATTGAAGTTTCCATTAAAATTATTTATATTTTGTAATAGACGTACTGAATTTGAAAATTACAATTAGTTTCAGTAAAACAAAATGACTTGCGCTTCGTAATATGAAGTTTGCGATATAATAGCTACCAAACTTTATTACAAACGATTTAGCAATGCAAAAGTTAGTTTCGAAACTATGACTTCTACCTTCAACAAGCTAACTATAAATAGTAGTCATTTCATCATAAAGTTGATGTATAATTTCCTACGGAGTTTCGTATTAACTATGTAGGTACTAACTAGTAGGTAATAAAAATACGTAGATTTTTATTTTATTTCTGTTTCAAACTTAAATAAAAAGTGATAATGAAATTTAAGGTTTATTCTCTTACAATAATACATATATACGTATATTTACATATACATTATACATATATTGTACCTTTTCTTTATAAAATTATAGCAAAAATATTTGGTTGCAGTTTAGTATATGGGTGTATTGTGTGTGGGTGGGAGTGGGTAGTATCTATGGATAGGGGAGGTGATAGGGAGGAAGTCCAAATATATAAAATTTATTTTGAGGAAACGAAGGAGTCAAAAGTTATTGAGATTTAAAGTCACAACATTTCCATACATTATTATGACATAACTGCCATTTTGACACTTGGAAATGTAAAAATTTCATTTCCAAGTGCCAAAATGATCTTCAAATAATGCGTCAAATCTGTCACTTAATTTTAAAATTAACATAAATCACTAATGATAGCAGGGGTTCTGGGTTTGAAATAAAAAAGACCTAACGAGTAGGCTATGGCGGGAGCGAAGCGTAGAGTAGCTGCGCTATCCAAGCTCAACCTGCGTTCTCCAAGTCGGACTATCACTTAATCGAAAATAATACACTTAGATTAAAAAAAATAGTCTACATGAGTATACTTAAAACACTAAGAAGTAAGAACACTAAGAACACATAAAACTATAGTAATACTTTTACAACAAAAAACTAGAAACGAACGTATACAAAAATTAACAAAAAGTAAAAACTACTAGAAAATAGTATGCGAAAAATAACTATGAATAAGCGCAAAAAATATGAAAACTCATTAAATAATAAGTACATATCACTATCGAACTTCGTGGTATTTTGTACTACCCGCCAAAAATACTGAAAAGTATTTACAGATAATATAATCAAATAATGGTCTAAAAAAAATTGCAAAATGTAAATTAATTATATTACTCAATATTTTACATAAATCAAATCAAAACTCGTACATGCATGCATGAATTAAAAATAACATATTTCTATTTTAAAATCTTAGTAATTTGATGACAATTTTCACTTTTAATATGCATAAGATCTTAACTAATTATTAAGCGATAATCTGTTGTCCTGAAAGCGGTAGATAAAATAGAAATTGACAGTTTTGTCAAAATTTAACATTATTTTGTTTAGATTATTGTTTTTAGTGAAATTATCGAAATATTAATACTATTAAGACTTAATTGTTGTGAAAATATGGATTTTACACAAAAAGGATGTTTAATATTCGTTAAAGGTATGTTTATCTATTGTAATGACTTATTTAGGTATAGAAATGTTCTAGCTTTACGTCTCCAAAACTTTTGACTCCTTCGTTTCCTCAAAATATTTTTATATATTTGAGCTCCATATCACCTATCCAAAAATACCACCAACTCCTCCAGCTCCAGCACTCCAGCGTAGCGGGGCCGCGTCTTATATACTAAACTTGTGCCAAATATTTTATTTTAAGATTTGTCATTTAACTCGTTTGATAAGTCCATCGGCAGAAGCAAATGCACAAGTTTAGAATTGGGGACGTAGCTCCTGGCGAATGGGTGGTATTTCTGGATAAGGGACGTGATAGGGAGTCGAAATGTTAAATAAAAATTTTTAATACAACAAAAGATTCAAAAGTTATTGAGACTTAAAGTTACAACATTTCCATACATTTTCATATATTTCTTTACCACCATTCGGAGTGGGTGGTATTTTTAGATAGGGGAGGTGACAGAGAGTCAAAATATATTAAAAATATTTGGAGGAAACGTACGAGTAAAAAGTTATTGAGACTTAAAGTTATAACATATCTAACACATTTCCATACATTTCTTTACCTAAATAAGTGATTACAACAGATAAACATACCTTTAACGAATAGTACGCATCCTTTTTTATGTACATTACACATTTTCACAACAATTAACGCTTTATTGTATTTAATATTTTAATAATTTCACAACACAAACAAAATGATCTTACATTTTGACAAAAGCAAAACTGACACTTTGTTTTATATTACCGCTTAAATGACAACAGATTATATTTGATTATTTTTGCTTTTTCTGTTGGTAAAATATTACTATTAATAAATAAATAAATAAAAAGAAAAATATTATTTTCACTTTATAAATACATTTATGACTTTTTATTTGATTTATGTAAAATATATTGTTTTACAATTGTACATTTAGTAAAAAAAATCATTTTTTTATCTGTGAATATTTTTAATTATTTATTTATTATTCGTCATATCTGGGTTAGGTTAGGTTAGAACATTTAAGATTATAATATATTTATTATTCGTCATATCTGGGTTAGGTCAGGTTAGAACATTTAAGATTATTTATTTATTATTCCTCATATCTGGGTTAGGTTAGGTTAGAACATTTAAGATTATTTATTTATTATTCCTCATATCTGGGTTAGGTTAGGTTAGAACATTTAAGATTATTTATTAATTATTCGTCATATCTTGGTTAGGTTATGTTAGAACAGTTGCCACAACGCACGAGCCGAGCGAGCGAAGCGAGCGTGCCGCGGTAGCGGCCGGCGAGTGCCATAAATGACTAGAAAACTAGAAAATTCGAATTTCACGCAAAGTACAAATAAAGACAATCATCTGGAGATCATTTTGACAATTGAAAGTGACGTTTTGACTCCAAGTGTCTAAATGGTAGTAATGTCAAAATAATGTATGGAAATGTTATAACTTTAAGTCTCAATAACTTTTGACTCTTTTGTTGTATTAAAAAATTTTATTTAACATTTCGACTCTCTATCACGTCCCTTATCCAGAAATACCACCCACTCGCCAGGGGCCACGTCCCCAATTCTAAACCGCAGCCGAAGCAAGACTTTATCACTTATTTCTAATATAATGCCTTAAGTAATTATGACCTTATATGTTTTTCATCGAATATATTATTTATATATATACTCGTATATAATTAGATTGTAATCTATAGAATACGAAACTTTATTACATGGTCAATCTTTTATTTAATTTAGTTACGGAACACATATCTTTTTGTTTTAAAAGTACGTAGATGCCAGGTACGTTAAGGGCCATCGAGCGAAGTGCTCGGCGTCGTGCCCCGCATGTTCTTAAGAGAAAAAAGCATTTTTGTTATAATTTAATGCCATTCAAAACTCTCCTTAAATATCTAACATAGTTCTCTTATCAATATACTAAATGTAAAAGTCTATAGTACCTGGTTAATAGCTAAATTATATTCAGAGTTTCTAATATACATATGTAAGTTTTACATGTGACTTCTGGTAATACCTGTCATATCTTGGTTAGAAACAGTTTCGTGTCGTCTTTGCCGTAGTTTGTGTTTATATCTAGCTACAGCCGACAAGAGAGGTAACAATTTTCAGTGCTGGAAATGAGGGCGCGAGTGCCGGTAAATTGCGTTATGCTCTGAAATATAGCAAGAATATATAAACGTATGTTTTCCTTCTTTGTAATGTTTTAGTATTAAAAAATTATTGTTCAAGTATGTATTCACGACGGTTTGTTGAAAATTGTTTTATTATGAAAGGTACCATAATTTATTTTTAGATATTATTCAAAGCAGTCTTATATAAAAATGGTTGGCATAATCATTTATAAAATAAAGTTATTGTTATATTATATATAACATTCATCTATGAGCGTGGTGAAATGTGAATATGAATATACCGTAGTCGACGTCGCCTACGGTATTAATATTCACATGCAGATAGATGTTTTACGTAAAATGTTTTGAATACGCCGTTTAGATTTAGTGCAGCAACACTAATGGGCACATATTTTGAATAAGCTTGAAATTTGAAAAAGATGAAAGTAATATCTGATGAGATTTGAGCATAATCTATTTCGCTGCCACACTTCGTTTCGCCGAGTTTTATGCATTTCTGCTATCGTTAATCCCAACGGTGGTAAAAAATGTTGCGGCTAAGTAAATCCTCCTACTTGCAAGCTTTCCTAGCGTAAACAACTTTAGCTCTATTCCGCTTTAGTATTTTTTAACGATTCGTTTTTTAAAAACGCTAGTTACGATTAATATTATGGTAGTTATTACTAAGAGCTTACAAGTTCTATGTGTTCTAATACTGCTAGTACTTTCAGTGTAGTTATACCTATAGTTTTCTGTGATTTTTAATATTTTTTATCATCATCTAGCTGATATTTCAGGCTAAAAATGTTATTGTTGAAACAAAATGTACTTTATATTAAGTACGTTTTATAAAGATACTAAGAGACTATATTTCGTTATCCTATCCTACATTTACTTTACTCTTGTTTGTACAGTATAAAATAAAAGTCCTAATAAATAGTCCTCCATTACGGTTTCATTACAGCCATGGGGGCTAATATCATTAAAACTAGCCACATGCGCAGGAAATGTTATAGTGCAGGCATGTATGCTCAAATGGAAGTCTTGTCTGTGTTCCTTTCTCTCTCATAGTCTAGTCTGACGATAATCCTACACAACTGAAAGGAGATCCGAGGCACAAGAGTGGCAAGGCACGAGGCACAAGGCACACCGATAATTTACCAACTGTGGGCTTGCTACTAAGGTTTTTTTAAACAAACTCTCCTTGAACTTAGGATCTCCTACCTTATCGGTAGAGTAATGCGGCTGTTAAACAAGAACTCAGCTCGACTCAATACTTAACTATTAAATTATAGTGTTAAATTGAATTCTCTACACTAAATAAAAGTTACGTTTACAGTATCTAATCTGGGCCTTGTCGGGATTACTTTTTTCGATATAAAGTAACTTAGAAATAATGTATGTGATAAAGCACATATTCACACAACTTCAAGCTATATCCTTTTTAAGATAGGCAGAGAGAATAGAGTGCCAAGTGCTACGAACTTTGTATATGTAATATAGCAGCCCTATTAAAATTAGATTTGGCATTCCGGAGACAATGTATTCCCATAAACTGACAGGCATTTTTTATGATTATTCATAATCGTAGGTATATAATAACCTAAATACTTCAATAGTGTTTGTAAATATAATTTAATATAATATTTATAATTACATCTTAACTCTTCTTTCTTATCGCTTATACGTAACATCATCGAGTTCCTATAAATACAAATAATAGCACAAATAGTTAAACGAGAAAAAATTATTTATAGACAAAATTACACATTTTAATATCTAATAACAAATATTAACCTTTTATTTTCGTTGGTTGCCACTCTGATTTCACTCAATTTGAAAATCAGTATAACGCTAATGTATCAAAGGCAGTGCTTATCCATGCATTAGTATAAATTATATATTCGCTGTTGATTGAATGCTTATCAGAACAAAAAATGAGGCGCTGCAATATAATCAGCAATTTCTGAGCATGATGGGAATTGTAATGATGTTTGTTTAATCCAATGTATTGTATTGTAACAGCGCTACTGAATAACTTTTTAACCAATTTATTGGTATTTAACTATTCAAAGTTATTTAAAATTAATTTACAAGTACTGCAGTAATTTGATTTTTGATTCTATAATTTTTCATGTACATAGATATCAGATGATGATCGCATGTCGCTGACCACAGCCGTGTCTGATGAAGAAGACCCCGGTGAGAGCGCAATGAACTCTCCCTATAAGGGTAAACAGACGGGAGCCGCGGCTGCCTCCTTCAACTGCACCGGTGCTGTCAGGAAGGCTGGGTAAGAAAACGAAGGATAATATCAACATTCATAAAATGAACGTTTTTTCTCTCATTTCATGAATATAAATATAGTTAATAATAATTTGCATGACTTTACGTAATAATTTAATGCATAGGTAATATATGCCCAAAAATGATGATCTATGCCTAATAACTCTGTAATAGGTTTTTATAGGGAAGGTATTTGCTAAAAGGGATTTTCCGAAAAAAACCTTATAGCGGTGAAACGAAAGTTAAAAAACATTGCATATGTTTTAGCTATTTAGTGACTCTATTTCAATATAATCAACAAATAACGTTTTTAAAGTTGTATGGTTAAAGTTATAATTATAAAATATTTTAATCAGTATAAAGGTTCCTATAATAAAAAGATAGAAAATATTTTCCGTGCGAAGTCTTAACAGATAGTCTTTATCAAGATAAAATAGTAATAATAAAAACAAAGAGATATCCCTTCATCAACTAAGCGGTTGCATAAATGTGCCTCTACAAACAAAAATAAAAGTTCGTATACTAAAAGCACCTGACTTTCTTAAGGCTTAAATTATTGTAAAAGGAAGGAGGTTGGAAGAAAAACAAAAAAAAGTGATGTCGTAGAAAGTTGAGTTTTCCTGAGCCTACAGCGTCTTTTATATTCCTTAAGGCTACAATTCCTGTCCCATGAATCCCAAATGACCGGAGGGAAATCTTAGCCGTGACCCATTCAAAGACGCTGTAAAAACGCGAGTGTCAGGCGCGATACTTCTCCTTCGATGAGTTTCATAAGAAATGTATAAATTCTTTCACCTGGTATGAAACACAATTTTTGAAAAGAAAGCTGCTCATTTTAAATGAATATTGGATATCGATCGTAATGATAAATTGGAACAGTCTTGTCCTTATTAGAAATATCACAAAATAATAATGTCTTTAATTAGATAGCGTATACATTACATAGGGGACGCATTTCATGGTTTTTAAGTATGGTAGCTGAGCTCAATTAACTTCGATAATAATATCACGTAGCATGAAAAACACATGAGAGAGATTGGTCGGTAAAAACTGAGATCTAAATAGTTTGAAATAGTCTATATTGCCACATCTTTATGTATAATATATTATATTACATATCAGTATAACGAAGAATAGAAGATGAACTCAATATTAAAAATCAATTAGAGAAACCAATATACCATATATTACCATTATAACCAACATACATACCAGATAAAATAAATACTAATTTATTTATATTTAGTGCTAAGCCGCACTACGGTAAACCGCGGCTGTGTTCTACCGATACAACTTTGTATTTCAAAGAAATCAATACAAGTGACCGCACTGACGATTTTTTGCCGCGAGTGATTCTAAAACTGCAACTTCCTATATATAGATTTATATCTGCGTGCTGTGAAAAATCGCATCTGCAGTTCTTATAAAATTTCATAATTACACACGCTTGGTTATCCAAGAGCGGATTTGACTAGTTTTAGCGCGTGGTCTCCGTACAGTGCACTATTTTTTTAAAATCAGTAAGAAGACTATATAGAAAGAAACCATAGTGAGTTAAAACTATTTTCAGGATGTTCTCGTGTATCGTCTATTTTTATAAAAGAAATCTTTCCAGCTTAGAATATATTTATATATGTGAGTTTAGCCCGTATTTACAATGTTCCATTTATTTTTCTGAATATGAAAGAAAAATCACAAACTGAATTTTAAATATCACTCTGCAGCTACCTACCTGCTTTTGTTAGCTATTCCAAAAGTATTACTTATATTAATTCAAATTTTTAATTTTCTCTGTGAATTTGATAGTAAAACTAAAAAAGTTGTATATTCTACAGAAATGTCTACATAATAATAATTTGTTAACTATATAATGTGTCATTAGAAAATACAAAATGTAAAAAAATGTAAAAACTATAACAAAAAACAGTAATTCCTCAAATGTACAAGTATATATAACATAGCATACGAAAATCTTTAGATGTGTCTAAAATACGCAATAATAAAAAACGGCATTATGCACCCGTGGATTTGGGCAATGGAAGTCCTCGATGGTAGAAATAGAGATGTGCATATTACAAAAATCCGTTCTTTAATAAAAAAGCACATTGTAATTCCGTGCCAGCAGAGAATATCGACAAAATAATCGATACAGGTGTCATGTTCAAAGTATACTTCAGCATACTGAAAAATTCAAAAGATTTCTATTTTCTGACAAAAACTTATTACTTTTAGCTTGTGTGTAAGTAAAAATTGTATATATGCTAACGTTGCTCACTGAATATTGATAAAATTTGTATTAATCTCTTATTACATGGAGTTAATAAATATAATGCAAAACATAAATGTTCTTATTTATATGTAATCGTTTGGATTTTTTATTTAAATTATCTTTTTTAACTCCCGAGTTGTACCTAGCATATAATTATGTCTCTCTAAGGTAAGGTAAGGTTAAGATTTCTAACAATTTAATAATTTATGTTTATTTAGGTTTTTAAGCGTGAAGAAGTGGCTACTCCGTAAGAAGCATCAGATTGAACTAGCTCGCAAGCGAGGTTGGAAAGGTTACTGGGTGTGTCTGAAAGGAACAACCCTCTTGTTCTATCCTTGTGACTCCCGCGAGGGCCGGTCTGTGGAAGCTGCGCCGAAACATCTCATTATAGTCGATGGAGCTATCATGCAACCTATACCTGAGCATCCCAAACGTGATTACATATTCTGTTTGAGTACGGCCTTCGGCGATGCATATCTATTTCAAGCCCCGTGCCAGGTACGCCTTATGGATATTTTTTAATTAACCTTTGTACGAACAACTTATTCACTTCAGCTACAATTTATTATGTTTTCAAAGGTGGAGCTTGAAAACTGGGTAAATAGCATACATAGTGCATGTGCTGCGGCATTCGCACGTCATCGCGGCAAAACTGGAACCCTCCACCTACTTCAAGAAGAAATTTACCGCCTCGAGAAAGCCATAGAATCAGTAAGTGTAACAAAACAACTATAGTCCTTCAGTTATTTTATCAATAGGGTCTAAATACCGAGACCTAGTTTAAGTAAAGCACACTTTGAAATACTTATGCGTTAGGCGGTTTTAGTATACTGAGCAAAAGGTACTGAATACAATGCAGATACTGAGATATTACGCAAGGCATGACCTCACCGCCAGTAGCATCAGCCTGAACTAACAGAAGTATTGTTTGACTAGTGCGGATCACTACTTTTGTAAACTAATATCTATCTACCCGACTTTGCACTTTATAACGCCAACCTAAGAATCAATTTTAAATAAAAAATAATATTCACTGTGTTCGCTGTGAGGCTTGAAGTGTGTACAATGTAGAGAGGCAAAAAGCTTTCACTGCTCGTGGAAGATTTAATTTCTTATTCCTAACTCACCGCTAACACTTAATAAAACAACATCTTCGATATAACAAAAGTTGTATTTTAAATTAAACTACCTTTCGGATTTTTTCGCGGATTTATTTTGATGTTTGTTCCCGACCTTTTGAATGCTTTACAGCAATCGTGGTCACGGCAGAAACTGAGGTTTTAGATGTCTCAAAGGTCATTATATGCTTGTTACAGTCTATCTACCTACAAATGTACAAAATGATTTCAAATAATTAAAAATGGCACTACAGTATTTTTATTTATGAAATTCATAAATTTTAAAATACTATAAACATAATTTTAAAATAATATTTATTGGTAACTTATTAATTTTAAAAATATATTATATTTAAAAAGAAGAACTCGTACCCTTACTAAAGTTCGTAGAGACTAATAGTGTCAGTGGCGTGTGATCTACAACATCCCTCGTACAAATCGAGGCAATTCTGACCTGCATCGCTTACCACAACACGCATCAAAGCCTTTGCCACAGATTCTGATAATTACATGTATAACCACAGGCAAATGTATGCCTTCATTTCGGACACTTCCGCTGTAAAAGCTCTAGATAAATAAGGGCAGAAATACAGAACTGTACGCGCACATGTCGCACAAAATAAATATCGTTCAAAGCGAAGCAAAGAGAATTTTATTGCGAAGTCAATCGAGCTCTCTGTAAATCAGGATATTGCGTTTTAGATGGTGGATATTTTCATTATCAACTTATTTCAAATACTAATAGCTTCTAGAAAAATTTTTAGATTTTATATTTAGAAAAAAATCATAACCTACATTTTAGTAATAGATAGTGCTGTAACTACCATATATGCAAACATTATCACATTCATATATTAATTTAACAGCTACAGTAATACCAATGTGACCCAATACCTCTGTTGCCATTTACATTGCATAATTACTGTTCGACGCAATCGATTCTCTACATATCCTCCATTTTGGTTACAGTAATATCAATTTATCAGAGCAATTAAAACTTGATATTTATTAGTGAATATTGCGATTATAATTTTGATTGATTAAGGAATACAGCTAAGACTGTAAGATGTGCTTATTGCGGGATAGTAATCGCAGGCAGGTGGCGCGCGCTTATTAATATTCATGACGTACCTCGTGCCCTGGTACAGATTGAGGGCCGCGTCGCCAAATGGTGTCATACTATGTTAACTTTACCACGGTATGACATACAATTTTCCACCTATATCTTTACTTGTGCCATAAGAACATAATCGTAATAATTGTAATAACTCAGTATTTTAACATGAACTTTTATTACTTTTCACCGAAACTTAATTGCTTATTTGTTATTTTTACATAACAGTATAAAAATATTTAACAGGACCACAAGTTAAAACATATGGCTGATTTGCAACAGTCAGTAGTATCGGACCTGGAAACAAGAGCACAGTTGGCTGGACAGATGCTGCAATGGGAAGAAAATCTTGAAAGATTGCATTGCGAACAATTCCGCCTTCGTTGCTACATGGCTAGCCTACAGAGCAGTGAGCTTCCTAATCCTAAGGTAAAAGAAAGTTATATCCTTTTATATTTCAGTACTGTAATATTTATCAAACGTAGTTGCAGAAACTAGGATTAAACTGAGATACAAGTTAAACACATATTAGGATTTACGTCTCAACTACGCTTAAAGTACATAACAAAATCCACGCCACAAAATATAAAATGAATTTAGTTCTCAATTAAGTTTTTTAATGAAAAGCGATCTCTCATCAGAAAATTTTGATATGCCGGGTCCACACGCTTGCCATTTGCCACAAACTCCAAATCTCTACAAATGCACTATCCTGTGGATGCATCGCACGCACTTGCCGCAAATTTCCTTTGATCTTTGCACTATCGGAACGGCCACAAGTGCTTACGAACTTACACAAGCCAAGCCAAGCGCCCTCTCTACATGTCTGAATTTGCCAAGGTTTGGCAAGCGTGTGCATCCAGCAAGGAAATTAAAAAATATATAAAACTTTATTATACTATGACAAGACTATTGTCATAATCAGCCTCTTATAATAAGAATATTATTCTAGCTCAAAACAAAAGCTTCTATTGCTTATATACACGTAATATTAAGTTCCGTAAAGGAATTAATTGTGGTAACTGATGCGTGTAAAGTTTTAAATAAATTGCTATTGTGATTATGTAGGCGCCAACAAACTTGACAACTTCGGTTGATACTTAAGAAACTTACAAAGGCAGCTTATATTCCAACCACTGCGTGTATTCATGAATAATATTTCTATTTCCATTCGACCCATCGATATGAATCACAAAATGTTGTGAAATGATTCTATCGAGTTGACAGAAAAGTTATATTTGTTAGGTTCGTTGCCCAAATTGACAGATCCGTTGACCGGGAGGAGGAGCGTATCTGTTACGGCGACCCGTGTCACGCCTCTATAAATTGCCTTCTAACAATTGAAATGAAAATACCTACGTAGTGTTCGTGTGTTGGTATTATTATGACTTGAAAGCAGTATCGGATGCAATAGAATTTTCTTTAAATAATAATTTTATATCTTCACTCTAGACATAATTTAATTTAATTCAAATACTTAATTAAATTTAAAATTCTATTACACACAAGGAATTAATCTAAATAATATTAATATAATTTGTATCAAATGTTGATATGTTAAGTAGGTGTAGGTAATTTAATTATTTATTATGTTCGGTAACGACTTTTCTATTATGTTCTAAACGTAAAGTAGGTATATTTAATTTCACAAATAAAGGCACTCAATATGTAAACTTGTGTCAGATCAAAATATTTTACATACATATTTAAAAGATTAAAAAAATAACAATAATATAAAAGAAACATAACAATAACAATAATAATTAATTACAAATAATACAAAAAAACGTACAAAGTACTCAGACTCAAACGTGCTCAGTTTAATTGGTCCACTTATGACGCTAAGCTTGCCAAAAGTACTAAGCTGATATGTTAATATTTATTGACTGATTTTTTTACATACATGGGAAATATTTAAATTTTCGCCGAATACTGTTATAGCTCGTATATGTTTTTAAAAAACTTACGTGAAATACTGAGTGAGATTTTCGTTCCAGTCGTTACTAACGCATGTCTCACGCGGAACTAAGAGCACTCTGAACAAGCTGGGCGTGTTCACGGTGTCGTCATTCCATGCTTTTATCTGCGCTCGCTCGCCGTCTCTCCTGAACAATTTGCTGGCGGGCAGGGGCGCCACCAAGCGTAGGGCTCCCAATCTCTCCAGGTCAAACTCGGGCTCCAGTCGACGCTCTATGCAGGTTTGTACTACGTTTTTTTTATTTATTTAGGTACATAAACAAAAAAAAAACAACTATTGAAGCTAAAATATCATTTTAATAAAATATAATATAACTTGATGCAAAAGGTATTTCTCCTATAATAGATACAAATAGGTTTTTAAAATCTGACTCGATCGAATGTTCCTTAAAAAACACTAATGTTTTATCAAATGCTGAAGAACGCGTATAAAAGGAAGTATCCATTATCGTGAAAAATTGAATTACAAAGGCAAACATGGCGCCTCGGACGTCGTGCCCAATTAGATGAAGCCATGATTACTGCTATCTACAAATTCTATACATTTCCCTGTAATTGTTGTTTCAATTTTTACTCGAACAAATTGTATTCATTTGAATTTATCTAAAAATTGAATAAAAGATAGAACTTGTTTACTATTTAATATTATAGAGTTGAAAGCAACTTGATCGTGAATACCGAGGTGGCGTGCTACTTAATATAGGAACTTTTAATATACCAAGTCACGAAAAGCGACTATTAGTCTGTTACCCGCAGCCGACTGCCTGCCATTAGACATTTCGCCCTTGTTACCAGAATAAATTGCAAATACGGCTCTATTAAGTAAAGCGATAAATTGTGCCAGGACAAACACGGTAGACGTAACTTTGGTACCTAAAATTAGATTGTGTTTTTTTACGATCCACTAAGCGAAGCTTGTAGTACCTTTAGCAGGACAATATTCTAACATTAGATTATAAAATCAAGCAGTAGACTTTTAAAAAAGTTTGTATGAGATCAATAAAAAATTTCAAAAACTGTTAAATATAGAAAATATCATATAAGATTATATTTTATTGCTGCAGAAAGTAATTCAAATAGTTTATAACATCGTCAAGAAAAATAATGTCAGCTTTAGAATGTAGGCAATGTATTTCAGCACGAAGAAGTCCTTTTGTCTATTAAACCGAAAGTTTTTTGTTTTCTTTTAAAATATGGAGCTGGACCTTTATGTGGGTATTCTTTTGTCCCATTGTCTAACAGATGTCGCGTGAAGACGGCGAAGCCGCGGTGCGGGTGTCGCTGCCCGAGGGCACCACCGCGACGGTGGGCGTGCGCGAGGGCATGTCTGTGGAAGAATTCCTCGCGGCCGCCTGCGCTCGCCGCTCACTCAACCCTCTGGAGCACTTCGTGCGAGTCAAGAAACGACGCGACATGGAAGACCATAATTACTTTGTACCACACAGAAGTGATCTCATCGAGACATACGTGAGTTTCGTTACGGGCTCGTGTTGTAATTTGTTTTACAGTAAATATTTTATTAATTAAGACTTTCAAGTCAAATTATAGCTTTCAGAAATCATTTTTTTAGATAAATTAAGTTCTTTCTTGAAGTATTTAATGATAACATAGTTTATAGTTATTATATTATCTGAAAATGAGAATGGTTATATTTAAACAACATAAATATATAACATTAAATAATATATATCATAAATTATATATAGCCGCTGGGTACGGCCGTACCCAGGATCTAATTGGGCTACTACATTAATTTTAGTCACTTTTACGTTGATTATTTATTATTAATATTAATTGATAATGTAATTATTTAAATAATATCTTGAATTATTATGACTTTATATATACTAATATACCCAAATTCCATCCACTACTACGCGGAAAGCAAGTTATCGCGAATGTTAAGTGTTATTACTTACGGTGTGAATATTCACGCCATTATACTATAAGTAGTAACGCAATTCTGTAGAATTTTCATAGAAACTATATCTAGTAATCTCTAAGTTCTTGTCGTTTCAAAACTATAACACCATTTATGCTCAAAACTATTAAATATTTTAGGCATAATACTAGCTTCTATAATTAATTAGTATCTACCATGAGAACTTAATCTGTATCTAGAATATTATCTTAATAAGCTAACATTATATACTACCTACTACAACACCAGCTACAATATCGAATTTAAAATATTATGTTTACCATATGATATTTGTCCTTGAAATATAACTTTGTTAACAATAATTATACCAAAACAATAAATTGTAATTGATATATGTACCTATACGAGTATGTATATCCAACATTTGTGTTTCAATTAATATTTTCAACAAAATATTTTATGTCCAGCTGCACACACATGAGGTGGTAGAAGTTTGTGCAAAAATTTTATACCAAGTGGAGCTTCAGCGCAATACACTAGAACAAATGTGGGGATTCAGCGTCGAGGCCGAGCTCATAGAGAACGCGGAACGACAAGACGAGCTTTGCTGCTACGTTAGTCGTGTGGAGGACAAGAGCGTCGCCATGCAAAATGGTAAGATCCCCTTAAAGTTATTTTTGTAATACTTTCTTAGATTTACGCGATTATTTGACATTTTAAATAAAACTATCTTTTTTGGATTATTTCGCGCACTGTCTGTAATAAGTATATAACGCCTTTGAGATGTCTAAACTTTAGTTTCTCCCTTGACCATGATTGCTGTAAAGCATTCGAAACGTCGGGAACCAAAAATTAAATTAAAGCCGCGAAATAATCCGAAAAGAGAGTTCCTATAATATTTGTAATTAAAAACAAATTTTAATATATGTTTTCATAATACACCTGTAGGGTGTTTTGGAAATGCTCGCTTTAAATTGGAGATTCTAGAAAGTACGGTTCAAAAAATATATTAAAATATCTCGTTACTTTTTTATACGAAATAATAAATGTGATAACGATTACGGATGCTCACTTTCGTTCCTCAGATAATTCAATGTATTTTTATAAAAAAAATTATGCAATCAATATTTGCCAGGTATTATCAAAGGCGATGAAATAATGGTGATTAATGGCGCGATCGTATCTGACCTAGATATGATGTATTTGGAGAGCGTTTTACAAGAGGAGCTCTCGTTGGTTATGATGATGAGGTAAGTTTTTTTAACCGTCAATTAGCATTTTATGCAATTCCATCGATCCGCAGGCGAGTTAACCGCTGTTCATTAATCAGCGGTCTTCGTGTGCATTCGTTAGCATCGATTCGCATAATTCGTTGCGCCCGGAGAGAGTTCGTTATGAATAAAAAGGCTTCTAGTGGCTTTGTGAGAGCTGGGAACGTAGCGGGAAAGCGGATGAAAAGTAGCATAAGGATACCAACACCCGTGAAAATGTTGTATACGATATATATACATAGAATTTTAAATTGTATTATTTATTCCTTTGTTCAGTGGGGTTGAAATGATAAGATTTATGTGTGTCTCTATATACAATAGCGACGGGTGCAATTATAATATATCAAAGGCTAAGGTGCGTACTAGTTGTCGAATGAAACTGTTTATATCGGTCTTATGAGGTTTAAGGAGAATAGTCGAGAAACAAACACATTGTATACAATAATATACTCGTAGAATATACCGAAATATTTTAAATATGAAATTGAATGGAATGAGTAGCACATTTGGGTTGTAATAAAACGGAAGCATGCTGCCGGTCCCTAGTGTCGCAGAGCGAAAGCCTCGAAGGGTAGAAGACTGGTATCGGCACTTCCCGCCCTCACACACCTGACCTTTCGACCGCGACAAGCTCACTGAAGCGCTCGCAACGACCTACATGCTCTCTCACTAGGCTAACCAAGTGTCTCGTAAATTGGATACTTGTCTCTTAATAATTTTTTTTACATTTCCATTTAGTTGAAATTTTTCAAGTGTTTTATGGTCGTCTGCTTTTTATACTTGTATTTTCAGTTAACTTGGGAAATCAATAATTTTGCAATATTTGGAGACAATATTAATTTTTATGAATTTTTGAACTGATTTCATAATATATTTTCTATCAAATCATATGTTCTTTTACTAACGAATTATTTTTTATAAGAAAAGTAGGTAAGGTAAAGTTAGCTGTCTTTTCTTCTCGTTTTTATGTTATAAGGCAAATCAAATATAGTAAACCCTATATACCCTACATAAATTTGTTCTTGAAAATATTGCTTTAAATTCGCTATAAACTACAAATTTTAATTATTAAATAATAAATCATTTTTAGTGCCTACTAAAATATACTGGCAACCCTATCTACCTGCGGCCCTCGCGTCCCTCGCACCGCCATTGTGCGCGACCGAGCCTCTAACGTCGCGCGTGAATCTGCCTTGAATAGAATAAACACTTGCTACATATTACAAATTTTTCTTAGTAAATTCTCTTGCACTAATTATATAATACGAGTACAACTGTCTGATTTCCATCAACTTTAAGTCGTTAATTTTGGTAAGTTCGCCATACAAAAGCTTTTCGCCGCAAATTATCGTACCTTTCCCCTTTATCGTAAAAATAATGATGTATTATTTCATACTGAAGATTATTTTATTCATCACAAAACATGGTACCATTTTAGAGCTTATTTTTTCCGGTATCATTATTTTAATACCGTCCAATTCAATCATGAAAATCCTCACATTTTATGTCAAAAAGAAAATTAAAATTTATTTCCTCCGAATATTTACTCGCTTGATAGGGTTACACGAAAAGGATTTATATGAGAAAATAATAACAGTAAACATCAATATTTTATTCTATTTCATACAATTAATTACTTATTGAGGTATACCTCAAAGGAATATTCCATTGTATTCCTTGATTAAGAATTGTAAAATGTACCTCGCAAATATGCTTTAATTTTTGAACTTTGCGTATAAAACACTACGCTATTCTAATTAACTGTGAAATCTTATATTTAAAACTAGCGGCCCACCCTCGCTTCGCTCCGGTTCGTCACTAGCTTGCTTCCCCTTACAAACTTTCATCCCTATTCTCAGATTTCCGGGATAAAAAACGATTTCACTCTTTCACTTTTCATATCATGAGATTTAAAAAAAACTTATTTTAGTAAAAAAAAATCTTTTTATGTTCTTCTATACAAAACTTGAGCTGACAATAACAAACACAAAAAAAGATTTATCCAATTTGGTGCAGTCGATCGGAAGTTATGCGTGCACATACATTTCGATGATTCATTTTTATTTATATAAAGAGTTACGTGTATTTTATTTTTAGCAAAAAATAAAATACGCGTTAATATCTATCCGTAATGTTATTTGAAGCACCAATCGATTATCAATTAATAAAATTCGTCCGATGAAACAGATTTATCGCATTTTCGTAAATTTTAACCTGTACCTTTTATATATTTTATATATTTTAATATGTACCTAATATTTTGCATTAATTTCAACCTATTCTCTTTGTGATCCAATTCCAATACTAGAACGTTCTAAATGCAGAAAGCATATGTCTTTACAGTGGATGTGATTTGCATACAAGTCGGCGCAAACGGAACAAGGAAATGGATAGCGCTATATACCCGGCCACAGCTACAACATTGTTCTAGATTTTACTTATGTAATCCAGCGGAAATTTCATAGTTTATAATTAATATGCACTTATATACCAACTATATATTATATATCTAAGTTCAACGTTTTAATATTAAGAAAGCCATCACGTTGATTGAACTGAGACTTTAATACAATACAAACTATATATAAATTATTAATTTCTACGAAAACTGTTTCATTAAGCTATATATATTTGACCGTACAATTAAAAGTAAATCTTAAATACACCTCAAGTAATTACTATTTAAATAATTAAAAGTAATACTCGATCGTTCGGAAGTATCTAGTAAGTTAGAGGTATGTTAAGAGGTGTCTTAAAGTCCACCCGATCCCATAGTTTTGTTCAGCTTTTCTTTTTTGTTCGTAACATGTTTTGATTCTGATATTGTACACGCACCAATCTATCTCAACTAAAAAAAAATAACAACAAAACATAAAAATGCTCAAAAAAAGGCACGGATGTATGTCTGTGGGTGTTAGACTTACTTAACACCGGCAGGTCGTCGCGCACGGAGCCGCCGGAGCCGAGCGGCGCCATGCGTGCGGCCACGGACGACATCATCGACGCGCTGGTGTGCCCGCCGCCGCCCAGCGAGCCGCCCGTCATCTCCGACGACATGATATCCGGGCTCATCGTGCCGGCGCCTGCCTGGAGTAAGCATACCTTATTTACTGTACATTGTATATACTTGCATTACCCTCACTACACTGCCTGCAGTGTATACACTGTAATTTTATTACATTGCCGTCACAATACTTTTGAATTTACAATAATATGTGCAGGAGTAAGCTTATAACCTATTTTCTTTACCATTTTTACAATACCGTTACTACACATATAGAATGTATATTGTTGTGTGCAATAATTTAATAGCTGCTACTTACACAGTTTCTTAGTAAATTCTCTTGCTGTATCATGTACCTATGCTCTAATGGAAAATATCACTTTCAAAAATCGTTATTCATCCTATACACACCTACATAATAATAATAATATAAGTTTATTAGCAATAAGTTTTGACATTAAATTTACACTAAGCGCAAAATAAAGCTTATTACAATTTATGCTACTTACATCGGTTTGTCACTGCCGACTGTACTAGGCCGAGCCTGTATTACAGACGACAGTTCCTTCCTCTATGATACAAAATAATTGTCACTAAATTATCATTAAACATTATTACTCATATTTTTAACAAAAAGCCACACAATAATAAAATGACATTACAAGGTCAGTTATAAGTACTATACATATATCCATACTAATATTATAAATGTGAGAGTGTGTTTGTTCGTTTATTTGTCCTTCTTACACGTCGACACAAAGTGACGGATTGCCGTTATTTTTAGTGTGAAGATAGTTGGAAGTCTGGAAAGTGACATAGGCTACTTTTTACCGCTGGATATTATTTTATTCCCACGGGAAAACACCTTATAATACTAATTAAAATAAATAATACCAAAAAAAAATTTGTGATCAGAATTACTTGACACTTAGTATTAATGCTCTTCAGTACAAATTAATAAACACATGTTTTAGCATTTTTCGAAATTCATCCTATAAGAGGGTAAAACAGAGAAAAAAAGTTTGTGTGAAACCTATCTTTTTAGAGATATTTTTGCAGTTTTAGCGCGAGCGAAGCCGCGGGCTCTGCTAGTATTTTATATTTTTACTTTGACAATATTGAAACATCACATGAAAATGTAAGGTTATGGTCGCGATAAGTCCCGTCTTTAAAAAATGATAACTTACGAGCCATACTACGCAGCCAGAATTCTTAAATATGAAACATTTATTTTTGTCATGTTATAGGTGGCTAAGTTATATTATATCGGACGCTAAATAAGATAGATAATTTTACCACATTGACTTACCGTAAAATCTTTATTTAACCTAAATGATCTTTTTATACTCCGTATCGATTAAGAGTAAGACTGAAAATGGTTGTAACTTGTATTTAATGATAATATAACAACCGAAAGCAACTTTAATGGCTGAATATAGTAAACGTTAGAATTGCAGTGGTGAAACTAGTTGAAAATGATATTCGAGCTTTATCTTTCAGAACAAGGTTGAAATGAACCAGGAGAAACTCAGCAATTCTCCACTGTATTGAATTTGCTCGTTGCATGGAACACTTGCCTTTATATTTTCAACGTGCAACTTTCAAGTATGGAAGCACTTAATCCTTCGAACTAACGAGGCGTCATGTTGTTAGAATTCAATTAAGTCATAACGAACGTGTGTGTACAGACACATATACTCTGACGAGAAATTCATGTCCAAACTTGCCGCAAGCGCGACACCTTGTTGTCTCACGGTAAAACACCCGCTACATAAATTTTCCACTCTCCATGCCCTACGAACTTGGTTTTGATTTTATTAAAAACTTAATTATGAATTTATTAATTTTATAAAACGAAAGGCTTACATTTCAAATTCAAAATATTTACAAAAGCTTCCAATGTGATACTCGACATACATAATTTATTTGCCTATAAAATATTATTCAATATTTTTTATGCTCTATATTGGACGACACATCAAATTAATAGGTAAAAAATCTCAATTTATTTTACGTGTCGTGTTACAATTTACAACTCTATTTATATCTACTTTGGTTATGTATGAAAGCTTTCAAGCTTTTACGTAATCATCATTATGAATAATAAATTCATTAATTGAATATTGGCAGAGAGTTCAATTAAATTTACCTTCAGATCACTCAGGCCATTAAAAATTTAATTTGAGCAGTTTAAAAATTTCAATTCTACTTATAAAGTGTCCGCTAACACAATTTCTCAGGCGTTAACAATACAAAATGATTTTTTCTATTTATATCTTTCTTGCTATAACTGTTTAATAAGCAATTTTAATTTTTTGGTCTACGTAATACTTGGCATTGGTTGTGATATAGCAAAATTTCATTAGCTTCAATATTATGGCTGTCAGCCAGTATTGTTATGAGTATATCGAAGTATTACAATTAACATCATTTCAATTTGCGGTTATCGATTTCCGATACTATCCTACCTACTACCAATTATAAAAGTTATATTAATTGTAAGGTTTACAATAGGTACATGATTTTTGAATTGGTACTATAAAAGTTTTTAAAATATAAGAATATTTTAGTAAAAAAAAAACATCTTTAGACGAATTGAACAATAATAATATAAGTAAAATAAAAATTAAAGTAGGTACTTACATATTGACAATATTGTTATTTTTGAGGTCGTTATATAAGTATTTGTTTTTTCAAAGTGCATTCAAGATACGTTAAGAGCAAAAGTACTGTAAATATGCATGAATTTTAAAGAACATCACAAGAGCACTTCCATCGTTTTGTTGCAAAAGTTAATTACAAATAGTGGCGCTTTGTCTCACCAAATCGGTATCATTGTGGCAGTGTGGTCATTATTTAGAACAAGCGGCCTGAAATTGCTACGCCTCTTGAATCGCCCACTGTGATTTATTTCAGTGCGAGTGCTTGCAACACAAAAGGTAATCATAATGTCGTATTGGTTTGACATGCGAGGCGCTTGTTTTACGATACTTGATGCTACCGTAGATAGAATGCGAGCTCCAAACAATAAGCCATATCGACCGCAAAAATTCTACTATTACGCGTTACTGTTGCTCCCACATTCAAACAATGCAAAGCAAAAGCTTTTTCCATTCTTATTTTTGATAGCACTGAAAATTCCTACTGCTTTGATGCGAATCCTGCAGTAGATAAACTTATAAAAGACGATGCATAGAAAACTATGCGGAAGACGAAAAACTTATTTTTTTCTGTTTTCTTCAAAGAATATATTATTATCTATTTCCATTATAATTGATCTACATAAAAAAAATATAATTCCTTGTGATATATATAGTGTTTACGTACACGAAATAGGTTGCAGAAAATTCAAAACTCAAAGTAAAAGCACTCATCGCGGCCTCCAAATAAAGGCCGCGACCCTTTCCCTAGGCTATTTGCTTGCCCCTGATGTTGACTTACCTCGACCAAAAAACTCATTGTGTTACTTCTTATCACAAAGCAGACTCGGTATGAAAGTTGTAATTTACCCGCTGTCGTTGAAATCTGCTGCGTTATCAAAGTTCCAGAATAAATCATTATATTACGTATTTCAACTCTGTTATCTTTGGTACTTGATGTCTCGGATGAGTGTAGCAATAAGGCACGGCTTAACATTGAATTTAGCGTTACACGATTGAGTTTAATCATCTCTTGGAAATGCTACTAAATTTGATTTTTAATATTTATGAAAAAGTATAGCACAGTTGTATTAATTCTACTATAGAAAATAATAATATAGATAATACAGTCATCACCATTTAATGATAAAAGACGTTTTCATTTCAAATTTATCTAGCATTTTTAGTAAGTAATAAATAAAAATATTTTTCCATAATTTCTACGAAATTATATTCAAATTATGTTTTCATATGATAAACTCTAATTTAAGACAGATCTTAAAGGCAAGAAGTCTTATGTCTAAGCAATTTTCAAAATCTAGCCGTTAGTAATTTTACAACAGTAAATTACAATAAAACTAAAAAAAAATATAAAAATTATTTATTCTCAACCAATTTTTATAGGAATAACCATATTTTATCCTACTAGGTAAAGAGCTGTACAGCCCTGACACCGATGCACACGGCGACGCGACAAGTACAGGCCCGCCGAAGGTTAGCTCTCGAACTAACTCCTTCGAGATCGAGAACCTCCTCAAGGTGCTTATTAAGGAAGACTTCACTTAAACGCTTCTTTGCTCACTCGTGCACCCTTCACCCGCTTGACTCGGTGTTTCAACAATCTCGTACCGTCTCCTCTTCACCACTCAAGAGCGCACGCTTCAATACGCAGCTCAATTCTAAATGATTAGTTAATTAAACTCTTAGTTATGAATACGAAAAGTTCACTTTGAACAATTTAATAATATTAAAACAATTAAAGACAAACATATATTCTCTTCTGTATATCATAATAAAACTTAGTCTTATAATTTTCTATAGCTTTATTTTACATATACAACCTTTCACTAAAAAAATAGATTGATGTCGTTATTAAAAAAACACTTTGTAACAAATTTAAACAAACACATAAAATCACAATTTCCTATTATCAAAGGATCGTATTGAAGCTGCCTTTTTATTAATATGCATGCGAGGCACTCATACCAGTCACCACATGAACGCTTAGCAATAACAGCAGTTACCGTGGCATAATAGTATGGGCGTGGTGTGTCTGGTGTGCGGCAGAGCGCGGAGCAGGTGACGGGCTGGTGCCGCTCGCCGGCCGACACGCGGCGCGGCAGCCCCACGGGCAGCGCCGGCGCCGCCGCCACGCCCTCGCGCCACCTGTCCGACGCCGACCGCCTGCGCAAGGTGCTGCTCGAGCTCGTGGACACCGAGCGCGCCTACGTCAAGGTCGGTGCACACACAGTGCTACAGTACTCAAGCTTTTGCAACGAAGCTACTAAGTTATTATTATAAATTAAACATTTTGAACCTGATGTAGTAAAAACCGAAAATGTTAATTATATTTACGTAATTCTTTTATGCTTATTATAATATATTATTATATATATTTTTATTCTTATACGTTAATGTCTCTGACATGAATTGACCTTTCATATTAAAGGAGAAAAGTCACGAGTTTAGCAAAATAATATACATACTAGATATTATTAATTTGACTGTTTACAAATTCAATAAATAATATAAAATCTGAGTTATGAAGCGAGCCTTTGACTACGCAAATATTTAAATGACTTTAAATAAAAATTCATGTAAGTATCTTTCTTAAGAACTTCGCCCCTATCTACATAGGTATATTTGTAAAAGTGTTCCCGGCGCTTCACCTCGAGGACGCTTTGTATGAAGATAAGATAAGATAATAAGGTGGTCGATCGTTTCCGATGTGAGCGTATCTAGAGATCTGAGGTGATGAAAACACGTCGTAATACTCATCCGACGGGGCCTTCACGGCCTATTACTTGATCGAGTCTATGTCGCGCGAAATATACGTACCATTTTGACGAGTGATTGCCCCCGCATCCCCAATATCTGCAGATAAATTGATAACTCGGATTTTCGTTTGAAATTTCGTTTTTATTCTTAAAAATAACTCGCACACGTATTTGGCAATAATACTTATTTTCATACGTGATTTTTTTCTTTTAAATATAGATTAATTTTATTGTGTCATGAGTAGGTATATAGCCTACATATACATATTTATTTATTAACGTAATAAATTCAATTTATGGAAAAACATTTAACGCATAAATAACTGTATTAATATTAATGAAATCAATAAAATATTATAGGGGAAAATGTATCACAGTTATTATGCGGCTTATATAAAAGTCAGCTTCTTTATAAGTATAATAAATTGCGATTGATAGTAATAATATTATCTTTCTCGGTCCCCGCATACGGAGCAACTTAACGAAGTTGTGGACGGGATCGTGAATTAAGTTTAGAAGCAATTTGCTCTAACTTGTAATAGTGTTTACAGCATCGCGCTTAATATTGTTGCCGCATATTGATTCAAATATTTTCTCGTATCTCGAAAAATACACTCTTCATTTATCTAAAAGCTGATTTTATTTATAGCTAATCTTAAATCTACCGTAATCTGCAAAATTATAGCAGACAAAATAAATTTATAAATCCGAAAAGTTGGGCGGGAATTTATAACTTTATGGATCGTACACCTGTGTAACTGTTCAAGCGTCAGTCGGATTAAAATATTTGTTCGCCCATTGGCGCCAAATATTCGTTATATAAACTTGTATGAATGCTTAACAAGAATTTACTGATAATTACAGCATCTAAATAACTTATTGGAGAACTACTTGGAACCTCTGAAGAAAGAAACTTTTTTATCAAATGCCGAAATCAACGCTCTGTTTGGAAACATTCAAGAGATTGTAACTTTCCAAAGACAATTCTTGCAAAACTTAGAAGAAGCGCTTGAGGCTGAACCCAACTTCAACCACTTCGAATTTTCAAACCAATTCAAGGTGATTACTTACATTATATCAACAGCATAGCATATATATATACATAAAATTCTAAATTCTTCTATTGACCGTTGTTTTATTCTTTTTTTATTTATTACTATTTTTCAGAACGTTCTTTTCGCCGTTGGAAATGCCTTTCTTTATTACGTCAATCATTTCAAATTATACAGTTCTTTCTGCGCTAGTCACAGTAAGGCACAAAAAGTCTTACATCCAAGTAAGTTTTTGAGTACCTGCTGTAATGTAATATAATGTTTTTTGTTAATGAGTGCTTGCTTTATTTTTAAAAATCTTTCACTTCATCTAGATGAAGGCAATCAGGCGCTTCAAGAGTTCCTTGCGGCTCGTAATCCTAAACAGCAACATTCCTCGACTTTAGAATCATATTTAATCAAACCAATACAAAGGATTCTTAAATATCCACTGCTACTACAACAGTTAAGAAATTTGACTGATGTGAATTCTGAAGAACATTTTCATTTAATAGGTAAGAAATAACTGAAATATCAAAGATTTTCTGCAATATCCGAGCTCAAAGTACTGGGTGATAGTCGACACACAACGTTTGTTGTATTAACTATACTTATATTAACTTTAAAGTATTTTTTGGCGACTTCAGACTTAGGCAAAAATATTAACTATTAAGTAATAACTTTTTGAAATAGAATTATAGAATTTTGAATGTAAGTCTGTTGGTTTGTCCTTAGTTCATGCAGTAGCGCGTATCGACTAGAATGTGAAATATTGGTAACATTGAGTGACAGTGAGACTCAAGAGACTCGAGAGAGTGACACTTATCAAGTTTTCTGTGGGATATTATCTGTGTAATACGATAAGTTAATGGACTAACATTTCTACATTACTAATTAATATTTTTTTAATCTGCAGAAGCTTTAAAAGGAATGGAGAAAGTTGCAGAACACATCAACGAGATGCAACGAATACACGAAGAATATGGAGCTATATTCGATCATTTGTTTAGACAACATCAAAAATCTTGTAAACAACCTATTGACCTTAGCCCAGGTTAGTGCTTCAAATATAAGTTACAAAATCAAGTTATAATACCGTAGTTATTCTTCATTATATGAGACTATGTTTTATTTCAGGTGATTTATTGTATTATGGAGGTGTAGAATGGTTAAATATATCCGACTTTTTAGGAAAAATAAAGAAAGGACTAGAGTTACATGCTATGTGTTTTGTATTTAAATCGGCTGTTGTCTTCCTCTGTAAAGAAAGACTGAGACAAAAGAAGAAGTTAATGGTGAGTAGTCGATCAGAAACATATTTAAAAAATTAAGTTTCCTATCAAATAACGATTATACAATTGTAGGGAGTATCTTCTAAAAACAATTCAAACGAAGTAGAAATCATACGATATCAAGTTTTGATACCGGTTACGGAAGTGCAAGTGCGAGCCTCTTCGGCTAAAGACATGGACAGTCATTTCCTTTGGGAGCTGATCCACTTGCGCAGTCAGCTTCAACGTCGCTCGGAAAAAGTTTATGTGCTGTCGAACAGGTATTTTATTAAAAATTCGTCTGTTTTTTTTAAAACTAATAGTAAATTTAAAACGAGGAAACAATTAGGGCCCGTTAACAATAAATATTTAATAACATTTGTTAAGATCATTATGGTTCATATTATAAAATTTGAGTCTATAAGCCGTAAAGGTTATTTATATTAATAGCAAAATTTAGCTATTAAGAAGGTCTTTTGATAGATATTGTATTACTCAAAGGACACAAAAACATATTTCCAAAGCCTCATGAATACTTACAATATTACCACACCAAACCCTTTACATAAGTTGATTTCTATATACAACATAAATAGGAATGACACATTCCGGTCGTCACGTAACACTTAGATATACCAGTATCGTATATTTCTCATCAGTCAGTATCAGTTCGTAACTGTAGAAGGTATTTTGGCTAAAGCCCAAGGTCATTATATTACATAATATACAATTTTGCACTGCATATGCATATACCTACTTATTTATTTATTTTTTATTAGGATCTCCAACGTTAGTACACAGAAAAACATACACTAATACATAAACAAAATTTAACCTATGTATATGTACTCACAATTATAGGAGAATACAACATGCTTCGCATTTTATAAAAATATCTTAAGACTTTACATTATATTAAAGACTTTTACTTGAAATTTTTAATAATAATAATGGTAAACTTGAATATAAAATGTACGTAATGTCACCTAGCACGGCGGACTTCCGCAACGCGTTCCTGAAGACGATCCGGCAGATCATTCGCGAGTCCGTGCGCAACATGTCGCTGCCGAGCGCGCGCCCCGCGCCGCCCGCGCCGCCGCGCGCTCCCCACGCGCCCGCCGCGCCGCACGCGCTGCACGCGCCCGACCGCCCCAAGCACCAGGTACCCGCGTGATGACGTCCTCCTTACTGACTCTGAGCACAGCGGGCTATCTCACTGAGATTAGCCAGCGCAAGAGATTAGAAAATTATAGTGCAGAGCGTGTACGCGCAGAAACAACGTGCACTCTCTATTCCTGTCACTCTCACGCCGTGAGAGGTGAAACACCGCCACATACTTACCGTAGTCAACAGCCCGTAGATCTTAAAGGAAATGCTGTCAAACGCAAGTGATGTCAAAAATACCAATTGTCATAGCGAATGGTTTAAGTCAAAAGCGCTGTACGATAAAATCATCTAATGGAAAATTACAGTTATAGCCGTTAATCCTATAACTATTTCCCGAATGTCATATAAAATTAAATATGACAAAAATCTATCAGCATGCACGCCCCGTTTAATTGGCATGTCTAGGTGCCATCATTAAACGACTTTTACGGCGGATTAGTTGAGAGAAATACTGCGTTGCAATTTATCCTATGTCTACATCAAAAAACTAAATTCAAACCATTTACTCTACAACTACTTTTACTTTTCCCGTCCCTAGGTGCACTTAGCATTTATAATATAATAGAAATTCTCAGAAGCAACGATTTTATGGGCCTGAAATCTAAATACATAATACCGGTAACTTATTTTCGTAATGGTTATAAATATAGACGATAACCTTACCAGATAAGACCTCTTTCTATTGGTGAAAATCCTATGAAAATTCGTACAGAAATTTCATGAACAAACGCAGTCATCTATTAAATATAGGTGAACTAATTAATTAATAGAGACATATAAAAAGCCCAAATGAAAAATTGCTAATTTATTTATAAAGATTTTCGGTATTTGAAATGCATTTTTAATTACGAGTTTTGCTGCTGTCACGAAACTTTTTTCATTATCCGATAAGAAAGTTTAACGTGGAACTTTTTTGTCATCCAGGTAACTTTTTTTAACTTAGATAGAATCATAGAATCAAATTACAGTCTTGGATGACTGCCTTATGCCATTGTATATTAAAAATATTTTACTAGGTATCTATTTAACGTTTTCGTATTTTCCTATGAATGCGTGACACTGACAAAATTTTCTGCAACTGTTAACGCAATATTAAGCAAAAATCATTTTCAATGTATTTATTATTTACAATTTTATAGAATACGACACGTTTGGCTCAGTTTTTAGTGACCCTATTTGCTGTGCCAGCCGTCGCGGGTTCGAGTCCTGCTACGGGCATTCATTTTTGTGATGAGCACGAATGTTTGTACTCCAGTGTTTATATTTACAATACGTATGTATTTAAAGTTATATGTGTCTAATGTATCAACTTTTTGATTTCTATAACACAAGCCAAGCTTACCATGAAACTAGGTGGCGCTGTGTGTTATTTTCCCAACATATTTATTTATTTTGTTTATTTACGTAATATAATGTTATATTACTGTTTTGAAAATTATTTTTAAAAATTATTTAATTAATATAAATGCAAAATTAATTTTAATATTTTATAGGTACAGGTCATACAAGGATCTCAAACTCTTGGAAAGACGAAGAAACCTAAAACTACTGGACAACGATTATCTGCCGGAAATATTGAGGTAAGCTGGCAACTATAGTATCACCTACACGATATGTTACTATTACGAGACTATAAATTAAGTAAAAAGTAGTCTTCGTCTGAAGCAGAGATAAAAATATCATTATTTCGATTTTAATTAAATCCGTTAATCTATTTTATCGTGAAAAAGTAGAAGCAAGCGCTCACTAACTCACAAAGCTTCGAATTTATAATATTAATGTGATTTTGAACATTACCAGGTCGGTGATTTATCTCGAGAAAACTCACAAGATGCTGACGAACCGCCTCAAATGTCTGAGATATCATCCGACGAAACTACATTTAGACAAAGGAGCAAAACACTTGGCGATACAGCAGGTATATAATATTACCCATCCTTCATAAAATATTAATTCAATTGAGATGAACGCAATCTACATTTTACGACACATTTGGCTCAGTTGTAGTGACCCAACTTGCTGTGCCTGCGGTCGCGGGTTCGAATCCCGCAGGAGGCATTCATTTGTGTGATAAGTCATGGGTGTTTATATTTATGATATGTATATGTTTACAGTTATATATGTGTACTGTATCAACTATCTGGTATCCATAACACAAGCCTCGTATCTTACCATGGAACTAGATGGTGCTGAGTGTTAATGTCCCAACATCTTTATTTATTTATTTAATCATTTATTTCAGGCAATATTTACAAAAAGATCTTAAATATGTAAACAGAGGCCCATAAAATATGTGCCTTAAAAACTAACATTTATATAAATATAATAATAATAAATAATATTTATATTTAATTTATATTTGTATGCCAGCGGAGAACGCGCAGAGCGCGGAGGGTGGGTCGCGGTCGGAGGGCGAGGACGCGCCGCCGCCGCCCGCGCGGCGCGGGCTCGGCCGGACTCCCAACCACCTGACGCTCAGGTACCTACACATGTATGACACACAGACATCACCTACATTGATCAACGTAGGTCCGCTTGTTTCTCATACATATGTCGCTAGTATCCTTTGATTCAATTAATGCGTTAGAACATTATTTGATTTGATATTGGATTTTAATTCTGACGAAATTGAGTAGATTCTACACCCAGTGTTAACTCTTAAATGATATTAACTAACCTTTCTTAACTCATGATATTATAACTCTTGAGATAGACATCTATGTAGTACCTAAAAATATCTACAATATATATTTTTATATATAATGAAAATATTTAATATACTCTAAATCCTTTTACAGCACCACATCTACATTGAGCGCTGGGAGTACTGGCAGTCAAGCCCGACTCATTCAGTCTTCTCATCAACCTACACAATATCAACCGACGATGGTCAAAGAATTAGGTAAGCAAGGATCTCAATCGCTTAAATCTTCCCCAGAAAGGAAAAGCTCGTCGACTTCGGAAAAAAAGATTAAAGTGATCCGTTCCGGCAGCGGCAACAACATCAATAGGGAACGGTCTCCGGTAAGACCCGTTGACCATATCTCACCAGACAGAGACCGCGTTACTAAAGTCATCATTTGCAAATCACCCAATAAATCTAGTTTGAAGCACGGTAATAAGACTCTACATAGATCACCACGAGGCAGCTTCGACCAGTCTAAGTCTCCTCGAGGATCGATCGACAAATCCCGCTCGCCTCAACAAAGCTTCGACGGCACTAGATCACCTCGCGGGAGTATTATGAAGTCCAGGGAAAGTAGTCTCGATAGAGCAAAATCACCAAAACCTACGCCTAAAAAAGGCATAATGCGGACTCCACAGGCGAGCTTCGACAGATCACCGTGCAAATCCCCTAACACAAGCCGACGGTCGTCTAAATCAAGTGGCGAGAAATTAGCAAAGCTCGGCACTAATTCTTTGGACAGAATGACTCATTATTCCCAATTAGCGAAAGTTGAAGACAAAGCTATGAAAATGGGTATCGTCGTTTCTAAATCTACAGAGTCTATTGCCAAAGCCATCGAGCACCCTACGTGCGTTGAATGTTACCTTTCGGGAAAGAAGCAGAGTAGAAGCTCTTAGCATAAGGGGAAGGGCAAGCAGCCCAAATCTCGTAGGAAATCTTTAACGTCTCAATCTATCCTAGTATCATCAGATCGCAGCAGCGTTGAGACCTTAAACGACTCTGGACACGAGCGCGGACATTGCCCTTCCTCTAGACATTGCCAAAGAAATGATTTTGATCAAATTCACGTTTAAATTCTTCACAAAACTCAAATTGTCGTTACAATATTTTTTTAAAGTGCTTCAATTAACTAATTATTTTTACGAATATATCATTTTAATTTAACATAAAGTATTTGACGTAACATAGCTTTTTTTAAGAACTTAAACCTATTTAATTTAAGCAAAATGAAAAAGGTATGTTCAAAATGATTTTATCGATAACTAAAAAAAACTGATTTTATGACTTCATTTATATTAATATATATAAATTTGAATGCACTAACATCGACATAATGTAAAAAAGCATATGTTTACAATCTATAGATCGATTCATGACTGAATGATGATGAAGGTGAATGCGAAATAGGACAAAGCGATGACAAAGTTGCTAATGCTCGATCGGATAAGAATAGGCAATAAGTATGAGATATTAATATGGAATTGACTAGACACCGAATAAAGGGAAATACTTTAAGTGATTAGATAGTTAATTTTAAAATTCCTAGATTTATTTTAAGGGTAGTTTATTTCACTACGTATAAAGTAGATGACACCAATTAATTTAATCGTAGAAAGTACCTACACGGCTACGAGATAACGCTTGAGACTACCGGCAGGTTCAAATTACGTATACGTAATTATTACTATATACAAATAAACAATTCAATTCAATGACCCCCATTTAGGGACTATATTATATTCGTAGATTAATAACATAATATGTAGACGTATTCGTATTTGTAATGGATCCATAATAAATCCTTAACTCTAGACTCCAAGTGCTAAGTGTTACATTTAAATGGCTGTGGAATCGAACTGATGTAAATCCTTAATCAATTTTTCATAGTTTCTATCTTATTAAATTATTTCACTTATAATGTTATTCTTATAATAAATTTCATAAAATATATCACTATTGTTGTTATTATTATTACGTAATTGCCACGGATTTGTACCATTAAGTCTTCCATTTCGATATACCTGTACTATACTCGTATGATGATTTATTTTTTATAATTTATTCTGTGCCTGCTCAATTAATGTTTAAGTTGACTATCCATTAATCTATTAATGTCGTTATAATTGTATCGTAAATATTTGTGAGTATAGAAGTTTGTCTCTCGTTTTGTATTACAAAACAACAAAAACATGTATAATGAATAGGTTAATTATGCAACGCAATTTTTCGCATTTAATAAAAATACCTTACTATAGTTATATTATAATCGATGATTACATGTCTATAATAATAATCTATATGCATGCTATTACAAATGTAATACTCAATTATCGTATTAAAATCTTATAATAATAGGCTAGCCATAAACAATTAACTTACACTAATAAAATTAACTATTGACATAAATAACTTATCGATAAAGTAGATGAAAAAGCATACCTTAAAATAGCTAATTACTTAGCATTTAGACATGCACCCTATTCGTTTGATGGCCTGTAGATGTTGCACTAATCGAACTCCTGGCAGTTAGTGTCGTGAAGTAATACCCACTAGACTAGCCCATAATATAGACTCACGCACCTACTGGTGCACCTTGATTTAATATAATAATATATTTAATCGTGACATAGCTGTGAAATTATAATAATCAATATTAATAATTACAATAGATGTAAAACCGCCGAAGCTTCTTGAATGTTCGATGACAATGTTGACCTCCGAAACTGTAAACTAGCTGCTTTGAAGGGCACGACGTGAAATGCTTTATTTTTTAATGTTTTGTTACGTGACAGGCCCAAGTTACAACTCTAAATGCAGCTGAAATGAAATTGCAATAATCTATAATAATAACGTTGTCCATTTTCATAAAAATGTTAAGAAACTTATTTCCTTAAAGTCTATAATTCGAACGAAATCAAATTGCAATTTCTTTTCACGTTACTTGCCAACGGCAGACGGGGCGGCGTCGACAACATTCATCAAACATTCAACTCTTTGAGCCGCGGTTCCTGGCGCTAGTTGATCCAAATTGTTCCGAACACATATAAAGAGAGACGAGAGTGATAAAGAGTTCGGTGTTTGGTGTGTTGTAGGCTCGCCGGTGTGGAAACCGCGCGAGGTGGAGGCGCCGCCCGCGCCCACCACACTGCCGCGCAGCCAGCGCCCCGCGCCGCGCGCGCCGCACCTCTCTGCCAGCCGCAAGTCCCTCGCGCCGGACCACCGCCACTAGCCACCCCGCTCCCACCCCCACTCCCACTCCCCCTCCCCGTCCCACTCCCACTCCCCGACCCACTCCCACTCCCCGACCCACTCCCGGTCAACGGTGGATTTGCCCAACATGACTCCTACATGAAATTGGATTTGCTCATCAAGGGCACACCCCGTAATAGTATTTGCTCCTACATGCGATGGATCATCTCACGCTCAGTTGTGGATTCGCTCATCAAGAGCACCTCTGTAATAAATATATTGTCCCTACTTAATAAAAGCATGCGATAAATCATGTGCATCAATAGAAATATTTTTTTTTACACTACTACAACGATGAACTCAATACCGTTCGTTGCTTCGTTTTTATTTATCTCACTTAATTCGTTGCCAAATCCACCCCTGACTTTCAAAGCTCAATAAACTACACATTTACCGATCAAACTCTCGTCTATTACAAGACGCTCGTGTTTCTGACAATTACTCTAGAGGTATTCAATGAAATGATATTCAAAATACTTTTTCAGTTCCAAGCGCTTCCTCGATCTCGACCTTTCTCCTCGCTTCCAAAGATGACATTAAATGATCTCATGTTAAGCTGCTTGTAGCTTTATATTTTTTGTAGTCAATTGCTATCGATACATTCTCATAAATTAAGGAATTCCAAAAGTCTAACAGGACAAATTGATATTGATACTACTTATTTCAAAAGTTGAATAATAATCATTCAACTTATATAAGTAGATCATAAGTTAGTCAGCATTTTTTTTATTTATGCTAAAACTTTTTGATTCTTGGCTAATCATCACAATGATCTAGAAGAATGATCAATAGTTGCATGGATTTGAAAACTACAATTTTGCACAATATCTACGTTACGTAAGAATAGTTTTGTTTGTAAGGTAATCGATATTTGTCGCATTCAATTAGCTTAAAATATATAATTATTATGAAAGGAATTAACTATGAAACGTTTTGAATATACTAGGGTGGAAAAGCGTTTGCTGAGGTCGATTCTAATATGTACATGCAAGCTACAATTTAACCCCTGCAAAGAACAACATTGTAACTTGGTACTTAGATAATTTAAAAATGGAAAATTAATTTCTCATATATTTAGAGTCGAAATTCAAAATTACTACACAGTTACAATGTTATTCCTTGCAGGTATCGAAATATGGATAAATATTATGAGTACTACCTATATATTTATCTATACGGTTGCGACAGAAGCGTAGAGTGAGAGGTAGAAGACGAAAGCATCTTAAATGGATTCTGAGACAAGTTACACTAATTTTGTTTATTAAATCAATTTAATTTGTTTTAAATATTGTAATAATAAGATACCGTAAATACCGTACATTTTCATTTTTAAAGTTAAAGCTTTTAAGCTCAAATACGATCATTTTGTTTGGTTTTTTAATTTTAGTTTGATTTATGCTCAAATATTATACCGTTTTTATATTCCGAAATGTTTATATTCTATGTAAAATAAGACTGTGTGAGGATCGTATGCGGTATATGGACATGTTGAGTATCCGTATCGGAAAGAAACTTTCAGTAGAATATATTTATGGGGGTTTGTACCTACATACTATACTATCTATAGCATTTTATTGGATGTCCGAAACAGTGCGAGTGTGCGACAGCACCGGCCTGGTTTCACGTGAGGTTAACATTCATTCGAATATCACCACCTACATGTTAATAGACGTTAAGTTTTATTTATTCATATTAGATCTAACAAAAATCTTAATTAAGCCAATCTCATAAAAATAAATGACAATATCAATAGAAATGAAATTGAAATTACAGACTTACCATTTTATTACATTTATTTTTGATATTTTTTTGTTTAAACAATGTTAATATTTAAATATGTAGTTACGAAAATTGATAATTCACCAAATTGAAGATGACGACAGATGATACTCGTGATTCAATAGTTTCATTCAAAACTACAATTTTAAATATAAATATTGAAAGTCTAACATCCGATTGATTAAAGAAGATATTTTATAATTACTTTCTACAGCATATTTGCCAAACATGACTTTAAATGAGGTTTCTATACTGTATTTGTGCCAAACTGGGTACTCATTGTACTCGCCCGTGCTTTTTAATACTCACTGTTATCATAGTACTGAATAAATATATTATATGTATATCGTGAGAGTAGTTAGCTGTAATCTATTTGCGTTTCATTTGGTCACATCGCAACGCAATCACTTAACTACCCTATAGTTGAAAATGCACTTTACCTTATGGAAAAATACACTAGGTAGTTTTGATAATAATTTCTCTTCGTGATCAAATTCGAAATTTCTATCATAGGTTAGGCGAATTATATAACATGTATCCATGACTCGGTTCCTTTCATTTACCGAATGATAAATAGAGTAAATATTTCGTTAATATAGAGATATTGAACTGTGGAGTTATTTAAAACCATGATACAACTGGGAGCTGAACTGTGTGTTTGTGTCAACGTGTTATAATCGTTTAAGTTTATCTTAAAATGTTTTATATTAAGGTCATTATTTTTTACTATCGTTAAAATTAGTAGAGTTCGAGTGTTGTCGTATTTTATTGGCTTTCTGTTGGTTTTTGTCGATTAAAAGTTTACTACGCTGTCGATAATTGAGTAAAGTACAACTGTACACGTAATAATTATAAGTTGGTACATATCATTGCAACTCTAGACACGTTCAGGTGGTAAGTTATATTATGGTTTTAATAATAATACATAAAAAAATTTACAGTCATTTTGAAATTTATTGTATATTATGTATCGATACTATGTAGATATTGTAATTATTTATTATTATTACCACACATTACACATATTACAATTATATTTGAAATTTTAATTATCAGTTCCAAAATTGTTTTTGTGATTAATTAAAATAAAACCTGTTTATTAATATACATATGTTAAAATATTCGAATTTAATAATTACGAACTTATACAATCAATTTATAGATATTGTTATACTAAGAAAATATAATTAATAAAATAAATAAACAAATATGAGTGAATAATGAAATGAAGAATGAACTCATTAATTGCGATTGTATTTCATACTTCAATGACATTTGAAAGTAACGTAGGAAAATGGATGAATATTTAGAAAGACTTATTGAAGTAAAATACGAATGTAACTAATGTTATTATAAGTATTATACTTTTATAATTTAACCTTGTATAGTTTGCTACTTGGGTTGATCATCACCTTTCCTTCCGTTTTGTCAAACTACTTCAGATCGCACAGAGGTTGACAATCCAGTTGATGTTCAAGCATTTAACCAACAATTAATGTGAACGCGTTATGGGTTTTATTACTACATCGATATACAGAACACATAAGCTTGTGAAATATGAAAGGTCTTTTATTAACAAATTCATTTTATTGAGATGCCTAAATTAAAAGTGCCTTTACGTATTTTGGGGACGCCGAGTGCACGACAAATTTCAATCAAGAATTGTGCTATCGGAGAGTGGTTTGTCAAAATATTAATTGTGTTCATTTTTTTCCTCGTTTTTTGTAATTTTAGTAACTCTCCGGTTTAATTGTAAATTAATGTATACATTCCTATTGTTTTTGTAAGTACCGATAAGTTCTTTTTGTGACACATATTATGGAAATTACTTTTTATTGCTTATGAATAAATATAAAATGTATATTGTTGGTGTTTTAATTTTTCTCTACAGAGAAAAGACCTTAAATATTATTATTCTTTTAGTATCAATTAAAAAAAAAGATAAATTGATGAGATTGTGATTAAATGAGGCTCTACTCCGTACTTATAATATGACTATTTTCTTTTATAGAGACATACGCTAAAATCAGTGGTTACTGTTTACTAATAAATAAAAACTGTACATAATACTTATTCTTGTCAGTGTGTAATTGAAAATTTGTAGGTTTACGTTTCAATTACACTTTGAAACTTGATGCATTTATTGTGACTAGTGATCGTTCCATGGTTGAAAATCAACCATAATTCATTTAATTTGATCGATATTGAGGTTCTCTTTTCAAAAGTATATAGATGTCTATGAGATCCATAGATTCAGAGAATTGCACGTAGAGACAAACAAACTTTTCACTATATATTCAATTTGACCACAGACTTTAACAATAAACAAAAGAGTATATTATGCGTGTGTGTGTCAAATATATGGTACTATGTGTAATGTTTTTTTATTGATTTAATGTATTTTTTTGCCTAATAGGGTCTTGGACTGTAGTAATAAAATGATGTGATGTTTTGTATAGCGGTAGTTTATGGGCTAGAATTCATTATTAAGAGGAATAATTAAATAAAAATCATGATTCTTCTTTATTTTTAACATAATTATTATTTTTAACATCAAAATCACGTGACTAGAAACGCCAATTACGGTGCGTGACGTCACTTACCATTGTCACTAGTGTCTAATATAGTATTATATGATATGTACTAGTTTGTTGTGTATACAGTTTAGTTTCGAAAACTCAATTCTCTGTAATCTCACAGTTATAATCGTTTAAGTAACGTAATCTTTACATTAGCTTACCTTCCTGGTAATACCTACAGCAGTGACCAGTGTCACGTCTGGTATTATGTAAGTATAGTTCAATGAATATTTTTTACTGTAATGCATACTTACATCAAAATTATCTTCACAGACGTAAATCATTGATTTTATGGATTGGTTTTTCCAATCTCGCCTTAAAAGATTCATCCACTTTTTTCGCATTTTTTATCATGAGACACAAATAATTTCTCAGGCTTAGTTCTTTTTGGTATTATTTTCACATAATGGAACTCAACAATACTGATAATACTTATTGCACTCATTTTCGATATTCTTGTTTCCTTTTCAATTAATAATTAATCGATCGAGCCCACAGATTACGGATTATAATAGAGCCCTTTACAGTCTACACACGCTCTGTATGATAAGTGACGTCACGTGGACGATTGTTAAAAGAGTGACGTTTTAGTGCCAAATTCAAATATGAAAATTAATTTTCAATTTTTTAACATAAGAATACAGTAATTTCTGCGGGAAAATATTTTTAGCAGCATTTTATTTATGTAAACAATAGGCTGAGATACTTTTCATAAAACAGTCCAAGACCCTATTAAAAAAAATATCAGAATTCTGCACTATAAACTATAAGTGTGGGAAATTTCAAACTCCTCGTGAGCGCAATTTTCGTAAAAACTGTTATAAAGTTTTTGCTTCACGTATCAATATATAAATAATAATCTATATATATAAAACAGAGTCGGGTTTCTTACAACACTTATAACTCGAGAACTGCTGGACCGATTTTTATGATTTTTGTTTTGTTGTATTTGTCTTCACTCCGAATAGCAAAATATTTATTAAAACATCGAAAAAATTCACGAAAAATAAATTTCAAAAAAGGTCTATTCTATACTAAGCGTCTAAATGTACCTAGGGACGAATCTAAGCCAAGTGGGGGGAGTCGCTAGTTAGGAATAAACTATTAATAATTATCAATAAAATTCATTTTTTTGTTGAAGTTACATTTTAAGTAACTTTTCTTTAAAACTAGTTTAGTCTGGAATTATTTACCTGAAAATAATTAATTAATAACTACTATTGCTATCTACTTTATTAGATATCTAATTAAAGGACTTGATAACTTTTACAATTTTCTATATAATTACATGCACAATCAGGTCGAACTCCATACTTCTGCGGAAAAGGAGGAAACATCCATAAATACTTTCACTTTAAATAAAACTATCTTTTCGGATTCTTTCGCGAATTTATTTTGATCTTTGGTTCCCGACGTTTCGAATCTCTAATCCAGTCTCTCCCGTGATCATGATTGCTGTAAAGCATTCGAAACGTCGGGAACCAAAAATCAAAATAAATTCGCGAAAAAATCCGAAAAGATAGTTTTATTTAAAATGTCAAGTATTCGCGTAAATCTAAGAAAGTATTAAATACTTTCACATTAATAATTTTGCTAATATAGGAATACTTTCGATATAAATTGAGGGACATACCAATCATTTACTTACTTAATCGAATATACATATACATAAATATGGTTGGCTGTAGAGTATTGTTAATGAAGTAGTGGTAAGGTTTTGAGACAAATAAAGCAACATTAAGGTTTAGTAAATTGTTTTATTTTAATTGTACATCGACGTCAATAAATCAAACTTGTAAGTGATTTTGGAATGATAATCGTACAATTTGCTATTAAAACAGGATCTCTAAATTGATATGAATGAAAAATTGAGAACATAATTTAATATTTACAATAATGAACATCATGAATCAGGAAGTTAACTTACCTATTAACTTCCACTTCTATTATAAGTTGTCCTGATGAAAATTAGCTAGAATTGTTTTTAGGCATCCAAGTTGATCGTATTCATTTTTTAATTATCTTTAAGTTACTAATCGTATATTCTTCTTACCATATTCCAAAAGAACTAAAACTATTATATAAAAATTAATCAATAAATAATGGAATGATGGTTTATATCCTTTGTACTGTTAACGCGAACTATTCAAATACTCCATTTGACTTCAGACTCCTCTCACAAACACATAGACGATCACAAACAGTTATTAGAACTAAACGTTAAGTCACGCTCGACGCTAATATAATTCCAAGGAATAATAAATTCGTACGAAAACTATGATGGTAATAATTATAAATATGGTAAAGCTAACTGTGGTGGTAGACAAAATTGTAGGATAGTCAAACGGGAAGCTCTATATTAAGTAAAACACTTAAAATATTTTATATTAAGTTCTGTACAACTCTCTACAGTATAAATTATAAATTCCTAACTTAAATAAATAACAATAGGACTATCTAAGAAGATGTATATTGTATATACATTATATTATGTGGCACAGACTACATTTTTATTGTAATATAACCAAATATAACCTACTCAAGATCTGTGTCACCCAGACTCAAATAATTTTAAATATAATGATATAAAGAGATTTATTTGTATTTTTGATTAAATTTTTCTCCTAACGAATTTGAGCCTGAGAGATTTGGTTATTTTTTTAAAATTTGAACAGTTAGATTAAAAGTTTAAAATGTCTACGCGGCAAAAGTTAAGAGAGTCAAACTCGTCGGACAATTAATAACTATGCCTATCATGAACTTATATAACAATATGTTTTGAGATTTATTTATTAAAATATCTATAAAAATGGTAATTAAAATATTTAATACTATATACCTATTGTAAAGTAAGATAATTTTATTTTAAGATGGTGTATTTAATAATGTCCGATGAATATGACTAACAATAGTGGTGTGATAGAAATATTAGATATAATATGGTGAGACTTGACTAAACTTCAATTTTGACTATTATCTACGTAACTACTTTACAGGATGTCAACACAATATCTAGGTGTCATTAACATCTTACCTTCCATCAAATCAACAGATTCTAAAAATAAATTAGTTCAACAAAAATATAAGATAATCTCATAAATCTATAAATTCACACAAATGAAACTCTTAATACATAACAAATGACTTTGTATATATCTATTGTGATTTATGTTAGCCACACTTCGACTAAGTTTTATAATATTTTAAATATATAATAATACGCACGCTATTACATGTATATGTTAAATAATTTTAAATAAGTTTATTATCACATCTACTCATTAATGAAATTCTCGGTTTAAAAGAGGTTTCATTACTCTATTAACTATATGGTGTTTCATCAAATTAGACTAGAATAAAATTCTTCCACCTAATTTCATATTATAATAATTACATAAGGCACTCCTTTAATTTTGCTGATTTTTTTTCGAAAGAGGTTCACAGACAAATAGATTACAGATTCCTTTCCTAAAAACGAAGACCAATGGAAGTTTATTGTTAAAATCGTATTATAAAGCATTTTCAAGTTATCTCTATTTGTAATTGAAATAAAAAAAAGAAATTTAAGTATATATTTATACAGTAATAACTGATTTTCCAAAAATAATTACCTAATCAAATTGTTTTGCATTTAATTACAATAAACCTTTCCAGTTTAAAGATAAAGAAAATAAATCAGAACTAAATTAAAGGAAAATATCTTATCTTTTGGATAATAGCAATATACATAATATATTAAAAGCTTACATTTAAAATAAGAAGGTCCAATTTTGTTAACTTAAAGAGTCCTTGCAACATGCTCCAGATTGATCTACCCAGTATTTGTAGCGGAATATTTAGAAGTAAGTATGTAATTGCGTTTTATTTCGCAATTACACTAAACACATTTATTTCGAGTTTATTGGACCCTAGCATTTTTTTTCAAAAAAGCTGTCTTATTTATAATTAATCTCTTTAAAAATTTATCTACCTAAGTATACTTAAAGTGACTTTTATTAATAATTTCAAAATTTGCATGTTACCGCGCGGCGTCGTTAAAGCCCCATCAGTTAAATCTAAATTATCATAAAACGAATTAAAAATCGAGGATAGCACAATCTTAAAACTCAAATGTTACAAAAATTAAAACTATTAATTATTATTATTTCTTTTGATAATTAATTTTATTATTTTAATGTTTTATTACATTACTTTATATAACATATTATGTTAATATGATATATATTTAAGTATCTATAACAGCAAATTTATAAATTGTTCCATTACATATTTTTGTAGTTCGATTACACTAACAATTTATTAAAATAATATGTCATTACAACAGAATTATTTTTCTGCTTGTTCATTAATAATATTCAACTAGGGTTCCTATAAATTTCGTTAAACTCCCTGACAGAACGTTCACATAGTACGTTTCGTTGAGCTTATTGCGCTGAGGTCGTTAACGCGACAGGGTCGTGTATATTTGTCTAAACGTTGGTCCCTAAAATTGCTATTGTAATTATGATAACGATACCAATATTCAGATTCGGGATGAGGGACGCCACGCGAGCTGCGGCCGGGCTCTCCAATTAAAGGCACATTGAAACGTGATTATTTTTTATTTTCCTACTCGTTCCCATTCGAACCCACTTTATCTGTTTTTTTTTTTGTCTTTTAAGGTTTTTCTAAAACTAGTCAAAGGGAATAACTAATTTTTCCTATTATATAATATTATATTATATCATATGTATGTATATCCATTAAAAGTCACCCCACTTAATCTTTTGTTGACATCGTACACTTTAAAAATTTTTTGGTATCACATCCTAGTTCTAAGATATCGAGATATCTTCGACATCGCTACTTCATTTTGGCAACGTGGTGGTGGAACTAAAAAATATCTAATTACCTAAAAGGCGAAATCGCCTAAAATTAGCACTAGCGAGAGGAAGTAGTCCTCAAAAATTTTCTTCGCATTTGATTTCTCGAGATGTGGTCTGCGAAGTCCACTGCAACTCGGGCGGACCGTCCCATTCGTGGAACGATTCGAATACAAAGTTGTCGGACGAGTCCTCAGCATCATGAGCGACCTCGGCTCGACTGAACGCCTCAGCGAACTTACCTATTTCGGTAGAACCGAAAGCTTGTTGGAAGGCCGGTAAAGGTACTACTGGAGGCCGTTTCTCTTCAGGAGGAGAACGTCGTTGCTCAGTGAACATCTGCTCACGTACAGATCTCACCGCCTCCGAAGGAATCAAATTTCGACTAGGTAGCTCTGAAGCGTTAACATTTTTTGGCCCATTTTCTCCATTGTAAACTGAATCGTCATAGGTTGGATAAGGAGTAGATCTGCCATCTTGTGCACAAAGTTGATTCTGGGGATGCATTGGCCCCTGAAAATATAAGATATTTTAGAATCAAACGGAACCATAATAATAAATATAATATTTTCGCTAATATCGCTAAACTACATTCTATAGGATTACCTTCATTAAGCGACAGTCAGATGCGTAGCGCATCGGCTCTCGCGTGCACACGTTTCGGGAAGCCCACGAGCCGTTCATAGCATTAGGCCCACTCCAACCTCCACTCATCATGCTCATCTATTAATTATATTAAAAACTTTTCAGTCATTTCTTTGTTACTTAAGTACCTATATGAGATTTTTACTGTTCGTATAAATTACCTGATAAGGAGACCACATTTGCGGGTCGCAATACCCAGGACCACGACCATTTATTCCACATTCTAAAGGTGGCTGAAAATAAGAGAAATAGTATATGTTAAATTATTATTATTAATTTATGAAATAAATAATAATAATAAGCCTTCAAAAAAGCATATTTTTGGATGCATTTTTCATATATATTTTAAGTTTTTTAAACAAAATTCAATTCAAAATATGTCAATTATGCGTCCTTAAAATTTTCCTAGAAATTACCGTCAGATTTTAAGTTCAGTGATAAAGTTGTGTATTGTTTTATCATTAAATCAGGAAGTTAGATTACGCCTGTGATTGCAGTCATTACTGCAACTTTTCGACTTGATCTGACTTTAATAAGCAAATGCATTGCTTAGTAATAATGCATACAAGTAGATATATCAGTCGCCAGCCGGCTATTAAGCATTTGGTTTCAACTATCAATTCTTTTAGGTAATTCTTATTTCTTCTTCTATTCTTATTTTTTATAATTAATAGATTTTTATAATACGAACATCAGTTTCTGTCCGCAGCACCCCTAGATCTTTTTATTTGTATTTTTTCAAGTTGAAAGTATCAACATTCTTCGGGCAAGGCGTCCGATTGATTAGTTCAGTCACTTAAGTATTATTTTGACACCAATGAAGTTGGACTACTTTTAGAAACGCAATACTAGGTTAAAAAATAATTGATTGTAATAATATCCTTACTAGTCCAGCAAGGACATGGAATACTTTGTGTGCCAAGTTTCATCCTTCATTCTCGGGTTTTTCATAATTGAGTGACAAACGTTTTTATAAATGTTCACATGTATAATATTCACAGGATATTTATAAAAACTTAAAGAGCGTAGTCTAAGAAGAAAGTGTTTTGCAAGTATCGATTCAGTAGAGTGAAGCAAACGGCGCGTTACATAGCGGGCTGATGACGATAAACGAGCAATCGATAACATTCACTTGGTACAATCAATGCACGTTACTAACGTCATAAATTTGTCTTAAATACACTTGTATCTTCACTTTCTAATAGTAAATAAGTTACGTCTTAACGATATTATTTAAATGATAACTTATATATTCTAGTTTATTCATTATAAAATATGTATTTAATATTTAAAGCCCATAAATATAAATGACCCCTTTAAATACAAACTGTGCACGTCAACAAATAATAAACATACACATTATAATTTTATTATATTACTAAAATAGAAATTCGGAAAAAGTATTTTTTCGCTATGTATGTATGTACATACATACGTATCTATATTATACATACTCGTACCTAATGTCTAGCGTTGCCAAATGAAACTTTTTAATTACATGAAATTCAAAGGTTAATTAATTATTCGTTATACATGGGTCGGTAATCGAGTGTGAAATATAGTAGTGTAGCACGACGTCCAATCCTGAATATTTAGGTCAGTGTCAGAGGACAGTCTACATTTCTACAATGTCCACATTCGTGTACACAGTGTGCTATCAATCGTACGCACCGCAATATAGAGTTCACTTTCAGGTAACTCTTCGTAATTCCAAAAGTTGGTGATATGAATTAATTTCCGCTTTTTAGCTGTTTGAATGTCATACATGGCAAATATCGGAAAAACTTTTAGTTGAAATCATCGATGTCGGTTTTGGGCGCTGGTCGGTCATTGACTTGCTGCGATATAAATTAGGTACATAAACATTAAGGATATGTTAATTTTTTTAATATAATACAAACACATTTATTTAGGCCGATGATATCATAAATTATTAATATTCATATATTAAAAACTATAGATGCAAGATCTTCAAATAAATATTACCTATAAGTTATTACTTATTTCACGTGAAGCAATTATTTAGTAATATTGGCAGGCATTAACTTAATTAGTGAACCAATTCTGTTGCTCTAGCAGTAATATTGCGATATTTACGTACTTAGCTATGCTCGCAAATCTCGTATACAATTTTAGTCTACACGAACAGGCCTCGATAGACGAAAGTTTACTAATATAAGATTTTGGGAGACGGAAGTAGTTTCTAAGTGGTAGTATTACGGTGTTATATTATGAGACAAGCACGGCACAAAGGCGCTAATGAGGGCGGCGGGCGGCGCGGGGTGGTGGCCCATGAAAGCTGTCAGCGGTTGATTTTTCCGAGTGTCGTGGGCGCGCTGATCGATAAGTCACGTGGTTCGCGCCGCGCTCGCCGGTTACCGCTCGATAGTTAGCCTCCGCAAATCTCCCGCCACTACTCTAATGTACCGTATGACTAGTTTTCAGCGTTCGAAGCATTGCGTAATTACTTACATATTGCTTGCAAAATATTACCCTTGTTTTAAGAAACACAAATACGTTTGAATAACTTCAAAATAAAGTTTCTGTTAATTAAGAATTCATTCGGGTTATTTATGAAGGTGCTCGACTAAGCCCTGTTAGAGTAAGCCGTAATAAACATAAGGTGTTTATAATATTCATACATACGAAAGTTTTACCGCGTTTAATGTTGGAAAAGTTTTGCTTTATCGTTACATCCAGTTTATCCCGAATACTGACAGAGAGTTCCACTTTACATTGAATATTTTATTAAGGTAGAAATAATTCTACTACAATTCGTATTTTGAATTATGTTCATATTTGCGTTATAACTCTTTTATCGAGATTAGAGTTTAAAATGAAAATAATATTAAGGAAATCATGTATAAAAATAAGTTTTAAGTTATTGGGCATTTACATACATATTTATTAAAGTAACATTAAACTAAGAAAAGTGATTATATAGTAACATAATCACAAGAAAGAATGTTGTAGTATAGTTTAGAACACCGTAAGGAGTTCTAGGGAATTTTCAAGATGTGACGGATGCAGTACTGCAACGCAGAAGTGCAGGGAGTGACGGACATCGATCGTGCCGCGCCGCCCCACCCCTTCATCACTAAACGTTATCTCATATATACATACATTACACCAGCTATGTATATATGTACTATGTATGTATAGTAATACATGTTTCTAATCGTTATTTTAACCATAATCATAAAAGATATCAAATATTATTTGTAAATATTTATATGTAGTAGGTATGTATGTATTTTACGGGAAAACTAGGTAATAAATATTTATTGTTTAGTGACTTTAGAACTTTATTAATTTAGTTACTATAATGTGGTAACTTTGCTTTATTTAGTATCAAATTAGGAAATCTAACAAGGAAAAATAGAGGCATAAAATAAAATAGTTATAAATAGCATCGTAAACCGCAGCAAGCCTTCCCCTACGTACGCTCGGTTGTATAACCATAATTACCTAAACACTAAGCTAGCTTTACGCTAACTTTATATTTATAGATAGTTGAGACATTTTTTAGGAATTAAAGAAAATAATACAGATGATTATAATTTTTTATTTTTTACTTTACTCCTAATATTGCAATAAATAACAGTCTCACTGATAATAATAATAATATAGGTACAAATAAGCAATATTTTGTTTTTTAGCATCTATCGCTTACACCCACCCCGCACATTTGTAAGACGCAGGAGAATAAAAAATATAATCAGTCCCTAAAATTCAATAAGGAATGCGAAGGGAAGATTTTTAGAACTATGGTGGTACGTTATATTAAAGAAAGTACTATGTAAATTATTATTTCTATAAAAATAATTAATATATTAATCTACATAAATTTTGTTTGTATTCATGTTGAAATAAAAGATATTGAAAATTAGTTGCATTTTGCCCGATAAGTTTTTTTTAAATAAAACCTAAGTATCATATGACTCTATCAGTCCATAAATATCACTAGGAAAAATCACTTCCATAAGTTGCTCTGTTTCTCTATATATAATATAAAGAAAAACTAGCACCCTAACCTAACCTGTCGCATTTATAATATTAGAAAGGTTTGAAGTACAATCTATTTATAAATTTGAAGCTATAATGATGATAAAACTTACTGTATGTGGTAGAGGAAGATGCGCAGGATGCGTGCGTAGCTCACGCCGTGCTAAGGCTCGCCGCGTGCGTGCTTCTTTCAGCGCGTAGGCACCGTAATCTGTGGCGTACAAATTGAGAACTGATATGCAATATTATTTTATTAAGTTTACATTTAGTTTCTTAAACTCGTTTTTAATTATGTGATGCCCATATCAGAGCTGGTTTTAAAAAGTAATAAATAGATACTATATTAAATCTATAATCTTCACATTTCATTTATTGGGTTTCTTAAGCTATTAGCTCTCATCAATAAAATAATATAAAAAAAACTCAAAGATGGCTATTTTTTTTATTTTCGTCTTAATACGTTTACTGTCCTGATTATTTGAAAATAAACTTCTGAGACATGTTTTCCTTAAGTTGAACAAACAGGAAGTAATTCTGATAAATAATAACTTATCATTCATTGAATTTCATGCAGCTGTACGAATACAGGCATGAACATATTTAAATAGGATTCATCATTTCCCGGCCTCTTTTCTCTGTTTATACTTAAAATATAGAATAAATGAATACTGTAAAAACAAGCATTTCACACATCATTGATCTGAAATAACTCACGCGCTGTTCACATTTCCCTTCCGAGGCATCCCTAATGTAAATGACAAAAATTAAAATACAAATTGCTCACTGCCAAGCTCGCGCTTAATCGCGTGACTTAGAATACTATTTACATATTCTTTTATTTATGCGATTGTGACGTAACTTGTTGTAAGCGTAACTTAAATATTTAACGCAGACCATACCATATATATAAACATTTATATAAAAACATAACAGTGTGGTAGGAACAATAACATTATTATTTACAAAAATAGTGAAAAAAACACGACGATAAATGAAAAAGAGAATGAAAAACGTAACGTTAGTGTAGATATACCTAAACCGTAAGGCATAAGGTTTAGGCCACATTTTTGAGTATACCCATATAGTAGCATAGTTAGGAATAGACGCAGTCGCATTCACGTAGCCTGTAAAGTTCATAGCGAGAAGCGACGCGGGTGTTAGCACCCCGGTCAATATGTAGAGTGGCTGTGCGCCGTGCGGGCAATCAATCCCGCGCGGGGTGCGGGGGACCACCTGTGGAGTGGCCGCGCGCGACCCCCGCGGCCCCGCGGCCCGCCATCGACACGTGAGGCAGACGTCGCGCGTTGAGAAATCCGCCTAACGTAAACATTAATTCTTCCTTCATTCTTCATTGTTCAGAATGTCGCCGCGCCACGCGTACGGATTCCAATCCTCCGCGTATTGGTAAACAAACTTTGACTCGGCGCTTGCGAAAGACTAACTCGTGTACATTCTTAGCTGTTTACAATTCAGTTATACGTTCGGGGAATTGGTAGACGAAATAGTTTAAGAAGATTCCTTATATAAAGTTAAAATTTTAAATTAATATTTTTATTGTTTTAATGAAACGTATGTAGCAGGCTTTAGCAAATAATTTTTTTAACTCTACTTAGTAAGAATATTTCTAGAACTATGATAAGAATGATAACATTACTGTGAAACAAATACTAAAATTCCAAACTCATTTTACATTAGCCATCATTAGTAAAATTCAAACAATGAAAATAATTTTTCATTATCTTATGTCTTTTTCATTAGGTATATTTTTAGTTTAGGTTATTTTATTTGGTTTAGATATATGACTATTAAAATATATAAATAAGTTTAACATTTGGAACTTCAATATAAAATAGTTTTGAAATTTAATTTTACTATATTCTAAGTTTAGAGAAACAACTTTTAAGTTATACTTACTTGCAGTTTTATATAACTATTATAAAAAATACGATAAATCGCATAAAATATACTTTCTTATCAGTTTTCTTAATTGGTTAAATTTTTCTTCACAAGGTAAGGGTGAAGCTACAAACTATTGCGGTAATTCGAAATATGATAACCAATCTCTTTCTGAAATAACTTTCATATTTTACTTTTGATATTACAAAGTTTATTTTCTCTGTATAAAATATTTATGTAATAAATTATAACTACATATAATATATAATTACTTATATTTAAATTTTATGGTACTATAACATTAATTAATTAATATTAGTGTTATAGTACCGTAAAATTTTTTTGCTGAAAATTTCAGGATTATACTAATAAATTAAAAGCATGTTTCTACATATAATATAAATAATGTTTGTATATCTGAAAGATTACCAACCCATAGGCATGGCATGATCATTGTGGTGCATGTGGTGCGCGGGGTAGTCGTAGCGATAGTAACGCATGTAGGGATCGTGCGCGTGCGGCGGGTAGTAGGCGTGCGCGTAGGGCGCGTAGGGCAGCGGGGCGTAGCCGTAGCCGTCCCAGCTGGCGCCCGCGCCGCCGTACTGCCCGTGCGCTGGCCCGCGGTACTCGCCGTAGTTGCAGCAGTCCATCGCTGCCTGCGCCTACGCAGCCGGCAACGCGCCCGGCCATGCTCGCCCGCAACCACTCGCACTCGCACGCATCGCACTCGCGCTCTCTTGTCTTACCTAACTTTCCGATCTAAATGCATTACAAAATAATTATTCACCCCTCAAAAACTACATCGCCAGGTTAAACTTTCTTATAAAAAAATATTTAAAGCAGTCGGGCCGCTTGGAAAAGTTCAGATCGGTGCGACAAAATCACGTCGAGATCGAGTGCAGTTTCACGGCGGGAAACGGACGCGGGTGCGACGTTAGCTAGCGAAAAGAGGTCGGTCGAGTTTGCCGGCTCGGCGGCTCTGTGGCGTCGGGCGGGCGCGGGGGGAGGCTCGCGGGCCGCGGGGGGGCGACGCCCGCTCGCCGGCGCTCGGCGCAACGCGGCGCTCGACGGACGCCGACTGAAGGCGGCGCGGAATCGATACGCCGCCGCCGCTCTACCCGCTCTACCCGCTCTACCTGCCCGCGCCCGTATTGCGCGCGAACTTTGTCTTCCTCCACGAAATTTTATATTTAGAACCATGGTGAAACAATTGATCAATACTTTGCACTATTAATTAGTACACTTTCGCCACTCTTTCAGAAGGACACTTCTGTGGACAACTTTTGGTAAACGTTCTGACGTTTCGTACTTACGAATAAGTTTAACTGAAAACTGTTTAAAACAAAACATGACAATTTTAAAATAATTAGACATTAATTTAAAATAAATAATTGTTTTATTTATATCCTTAAATATAATCAAATTATTCAACATTTAACAACATTAATTCAACATTTAAATACTAGACCTAAAACTATAAATTATTTATAAAAAATTCCTGTAAATGAGTGACTCTTTAAAAAATTTAAACAGAAAGAAGTAAACAATTGTTAATTTTATATACATATAGTGTGCATGCACTTCGTATGCGCAACGTAACCATGTAGATAGTAGTTACTCGTAGTTGCAAAGTTTTATCGAATTGCGCGTAGGCGGCGGTGACCCACATAGCAAATACTGTTATGCCGTGGAACAGGCACCACCCTTGGTCCATCAATGAAAACTCGTCATTGCTAACTTTTATTGGGCCTTATACATTAACAAATAAAATCTTGTTAGGAACATGCATAGCCGCTCTTCTTTCACATTCTTCTAAGTAACACAATTCTTGGAAATAATATAAATTGGCTTTTAACAAATTATTTTATTAGAAGACAATAAAAAGTAATTTTAAACATATTTGAACTTTGGGTTTAGATTTTATGTAAAAAAATGTATAAAAACATTGATATATGTACATATGTGTCTGTATATACCACACATTGTCAACCTACACAGTTCACAGCCTCACTTTCAGTCGTTGATCAATAAACATTTCTATTGATTCTCTTGTTACCTAGTTAAAGCAAAGTCTGCTGCTAGAACAAAAAAGGTTATTTGTGAGCATTGCAGATAATAAAGAATTAAAGTAGAAGCTCTAATACGTATCTTGTTTCATATACGATTTGATTTCGCGCCAAACAACTGTGCACCAACTGATATAAAACCAGGATTCGCCGCGCGCATTTTAAAATCGAAGTTCAGTAATATGAATAAGTCTTTATCCAAAATAAAAAATTTAAGACGAAATATAAATGTTACTGAAAACTACAAACATTTAAAAAAAGACATATTAATCACTGATTATAATTGAAAGCATTTTATTAATAACATAAGTCCGCTTTTAATGATTTAATAAAATTTAATACAACTTTTTTCTTTAAAATGCCTAACAACTTTAAATACCCATCATAATATTTTAGCTACATTTTTTATTTTCTTTATGAATCTATTTCATAATTTAATATTAAACGTATTAGATAATTAATTTTTATGAGAAAGCATAAGTATCCTAATGATATGGTGTAGTGTGGAGAAGCCAGGCGCGGGTTATCATGCAGATTGCGGCGAATCAATAGGGCGCCTCGGCCACTGACGGCGGATGACGATCAATAGCGTCCCAACGGAGCTGTCTCCGCATTAAGGGGCTTCCTCGAACGCCTTCACATATATCCACAAGCTATCTACACTCCGTACATCACTCTACTTCCATACAAGCGTAAGAGCTTCTTGTTTGCGTCTAAGTCTAAGTATACACGACAAATTTGTTTTTGCGAATACTTCAATATAGAAGACAAGCTTACTACTTTATTAATTATATGTTGGCAAATTAAATAAATTACATACATTTGTTATGTATTAGTCATTTATTAATTTACCACTCATACCTACTCTTTGTATAAGGCAAACTTTGTAAAGTCGACTTCGCGGTATTTAAATGTACACGAAGGTCGTTCTAAAGTCACCTGCAAGGATGCATCAAGATTTTTCAGAAATAATATACAATTACATAATTCTACTAAAAAGCAATAAAATTATTTTCAATTTTTATAATAAATTATTTCTGGATACATCCTGTTTGTATATTTTATATCATTATGTATTTTTCTTTTTATAAGTTATATGTATGAATGAGCTTGCAATATACGTACCTACATAATTGACTATTGAAATTATAATATATTTGCACATAGAGTAGTAAAAAAATAGTAACTATAGTTTTTCTACTTCGTTACTTATTGATAAACAAAACGTTTTAAAGTTTATTAAATAAAAATATTTAAAATTATAGATATCTACTAACTATCATTGCTCGCGGCTCCACCCGCGTTTAGATGACCAAAAACCAAATTCTTAAGTTTTACATATTAATATACTCTTACATTGTAGTGTTTGTATTTTTTCACAGAAATGAGATATTTTCCCGCGGTAAAGGGTATCCTATATGTTGACCAGCTACCTTCATACCAAATTTCATCAAAATACCTCCAGTGGTTTTTCCATGATGCGGTAACAAACAGACAGACAGAAAGACAAAAATTCTAAAAACTATAGATTCGGTCTCTGTATCGATAATAATGTCTATTGCAATAAGATTTTCCAAAAAATATTTAATGTACAGATTCGGCTTGGTTAGATCTTATTATATGTATAGATGTAGTAATTTGATTTTATATAGATAATACATGTACATTATCGGTTACTCAATGAGTTTATCACAGGCATGTTACTTTTCGAAACAGATATAGTCGTGCCAATGTCAAAATATCGACAAGTATCAATTAGTGTCATATGTAAAGCAGCCATCAGTTTTGTCTGGGTTCGACACATGAAGTAAATTGAAGTAATACACCCGGTAAAATGTTTTTAAATAAATCTATAAACACAGCAAAGCTTTCTTTCCAATATTTACAGCATTTAGTAACGTTACCATTTACAAGTTATTAATTGATATTCTATATTCAACGAAGCGGAAAAAAACGCAACAAAGTACTAAAAGAATAAATTATATGACATAGAGTTAGAGCAAAAAGAAACAACGTTACTTATGAAAGAGTCTAAGCTTCAATACCCTTAATAATAATCCAAAAGCTTAACAGAAAGCTTTATTGATTCTATTATAATTCAAAGATATTGACTTGCTAACTAACCATTCCATATAAAACCAACCTGACGAGTATATGTCTACGAACGTACATAATACATATGTATTTCTTCTTAGCTCTACACAATTTCCCTCACACGGTAGACAGAGAGGACGTTTGGTGCGACTTTTTACTCTATTCTTTTTTCCGCGTGTTGACTGATTGGTCTTAGTACTTAACCTTTATAAATATTTTATACTTAACTAGCGACTCACCCTCGCTTCGCTCAGGCTCGTACTTACGTTTTGACGCTTAGTATAAATAAATAAATATGTTGGGACATTAACACCCAGCACCATCTAGTTTCATGATAAGCTACGAGACTTGTGTTGTGTATGGTATATAGATAATTGATACACTACACATATATAACTTTAAATACATACATATTATAAATATAAATACCCATGACTGGAGTATAGACATTCGTGTTCATCACACACGTGAATGCCCCCAGCGGGACTCGAACCTGCGACCGCTGGCCCAGCAAGTAAAGTCACAGCGAACTGAGCCAAACGTATCGTTCAAGTATGGTATAGATTTTTGTTTTAATTTTTTTTTTCGTGAATTTTTCCGATGTTTAATAGTTATGGGGGAAGACAAATTCAACAAAACAAAGATCATAATAATCGGTTTAGCAGTTCTCGAGTTATAAGTGTTGTAACAAACCCGACATTGTTTTATATATTACTAGCAGAAGCCGCGGCTTCGTTCGCGCTAAATCTACAAAAAAACTCTAAAATGGTAGGTTTCATACAAACTTTCATCATCTATTTTACCCCCTTATGGAATGAATTTCGAAAAATTCTAAAACACGTATTTAATTAATTGTTTTGAAGAGCATATTTTATACCAAGTTTCAAGTAATTCTGATCATAAATATTTTTTTGGATTGTATTATAACGTGTTACCCCGTGGGAAAGAGATAATTTTCCTGCGGTATAAAGTGGCCTATGTCACTCTCCAGCCCTCCAACTATCTCCACACAAAAAATCACGCCAATCCGCCAAGCCGTTTTGACGTGAAAGAAGACAAACAAACAAACAAACAAACAAACAAACAAACACACTTTCACATATATAATATTAGTATTGTATTGTATTCAGCCCTTTTTTTTAACGTCCCACTGCTAGGCACGGGCCTCCCTGCAGTACGAGGGGAATCAGGCCATAGTCCACCACGCTGGCCAAGTGCGGTTTGGCGGACTTCACACGTCTTTTGAAAACTTGTTAGGTTCTCTCAGACATGCAGGTTTCCTCACGATGTTTTCCTTCACGGTTAAGACAAGTGGTAATTATGTAGGAAATGATTCGCACATGAAAATATCAGAGGTGTGAGACCCGGGATTTGAACTCGCTTCACTCGGTTTCCCAAGCGAGCGCGTTACCACTGGGCTACCACTGCCTTCTTACCAATTTTTATCATATTTCTATGCAAAAATTAGCACTTCGGAAATCGAACTTGCAATTTTTAATTCAATTAAGTACAATTATTTAAAGGATTTATTTTGCATCTTATAGCTTTTAAGTTTTTGACGTTAAGGTATATTTACTTGACTACGAAGGGTTTTGATTTCAGCAAGCTTTGTATGTATGTACAATATATGTATATATACATGTATGCACATGTATGTATATAATATGTTGACGACTCGTTTGGCTCAGTTTGTAGTGACCCTACTTGCTGTGCCAGCGGTCGTGGGTTCGAGTCCCGCTGGGGGCATTCATTTGTGTGATTAGCACGAATGTTTGTACTACAGTCATGGGTGTTCATATTTATAATATGTATGTATTTAAAGTTATCTTATATATATGTGTATCAACTATCTGGTATATATAATACAAGCCTCGTAGCTTACCATGGAACTAGATGGCGCTGTGTGTTAATGTCCCAACATATTTATTTATTTATAATATGTATGTATGTTCATCTGTTCCCGCATATTTTCTAAGCTACCTTTATAATTTGACAAATGAGATACCGTTAGATGCGTCTTGACCGTCCGCTGTTTATATG